GCCCCAGCTGTGTGCATTACTTTTTTGTCAGCCAATTAAAAATGAATATAATATTTATGAATGTAAGGCGCATGAGGACAAAATGGCCCAACTTTTGAGAGAGCGAAACGTCACAGATTACCCGTCATGCCTGGCTGTCAGAGCAGAAGTCCCCGTATGTGCGCTCATAGAGCATGCGCAGTTGAGTTGCCCCTTAAGCCCCGCCCCCGAGCTCCCACTCTCAGATGCGCGTTCATAATGCAGAGGAAAATAACTCTCATAATAACGTTATTAGCACATTTTACAACTTGAGGACCGAATGTTTTTAATAAGGGCTATACTGTACAAACGTTCATACTGGGTAGTTTATTTAGTTTAAAAAAAATTATCCAACGATTTATAGACCACTCTTTCCCAATGTAAGTCAATGGGAAAAAGTGTTTCCGGGCCCAGCAACCCATACGGAAGTGTAGTACCGCCGTTTGGCCACAACGAATATTTCCATCAGAGTCCGGCGCACTTCCTGGGGGCTTGCTGTGTACCTAATAAACTGGCAACTGAGTGCTGCTATACCCGCAGTTGTTTATCATCTGTCAATCATTTTCTAAATTGTATTTGACTCTTTTCGGATAGTTTATACACAAAACAATGAATCCAGAAAATAATCTTCAGATCCATCAATAATAAATAAACTGTATATTTCATTCAGTACATTTGTTTTATGAAAATGTATAATGTTACAATAAAAATAACTGTAAGCTGCAGACCTTCCATTATCAACTAGTGTGTTTACATTTCAAACAACTTCAAACTTTAATCACATTTTCATGATTAAATAATACAAATAAACAGTTCAATCTTTGTATATTCTTGCCGTGTCCGTTACAGCAGTATAGGTACAAATGTATGTGTGTAAATATACGAAGTGCAAAACGTAGCTGTGAAGGGTTATGTATAATTGAGTGTGTTTAAGTATTTATAACCATGTGTTTGCTTATACATATTAATTTTAATATGGACTCATGGGAGGCAGGCCTCGAGCTAGAAGAGATCCAAATAAACAAATAAACCCAGACGCTTTCATCTGTTGTCATGTGACCAAGGCAATTATGTATCAAACTTAAGAGGCTTCAGAAGTAAGTGGACTTTAGTTTTACAGAATAAACCTTGAGGCTCCATTTTGTTTAAATACTAACCTCAAAGTAATGAGTTTAAACATTAAAGCTGCACACAATCTTTTGTGGATTTACGTCATATCAAACATCATTTTCACCAGATGAGGTCGAGCCCCACTTTGTGTTTGTTACAATTTGTTTTATATATTTACGTCACCCATTGTCCTGAGGCCTGTACGACAAAGCCGGTTCAACATAACCTGGATATGTTTGAGTTAGCCGGTTGGCCTAATCCAAAACATACGCGCTCTCGCTAAGCGGTCCTACGACGCGGGTTATCAAGTGGATCGCTCAAGCCAGCCGAGTCCTATCTAGTTAGGTGCGCGTTCACATGAAAGGGGTGGTATTTGGAGCATTCGGCCAATCACAAACATGGACAAGCGTACTGACAGCGCAGCGCGTCATGCTTCCTGAATGAAAAGTCAACTATAATATTAGATATATGAAGAAGTTAAACTTTAAACATTCATGACTTAAACACTTTATCCAGGATAAAAGCCACATAGCTGCACCTGCAAGGTGAATACAGCTGGTAAAAGAAAAAGTGTTTGAATGCGTACATTAAAGGTGGGGTACGTCATTTTGGAGAAACCAGCTCGAGTGCGCTAGAATTTGAAAATACACAGCCGGAAAAAATCTGCCACTTCCTTACAGAGCCCCTCCTCCAACACACACGAACGCGCACATGACCAATAAGTCGCACGAGATAAGTTTGTGCACAGATGGAAGGCTGACAGGCAGGTAGGCCATCCAGTTATTTTTTATGGATTTTTTTTCAAAGCACTTAATATATTCATTGCTATCAGGATGTTAAGAGCATTCCATGGAATATAACAAAAAGTGTATCTCGAGCCGGTTTCTCAAACTTACCTACCCCACCTTTAACAGGTTTATGATATCACTGTTTATGAGTGGATCTGACTTTAATTACATTTGACTCAAGTGTTTCGTCAACTTAATGTGTTGCTTAAAATAATACTTCTGCATACAGTATGTGACACTGTGAGTGTTGCACTGCCAGATACGGCTCAAGAAGCTGACTCAGATAAGGAAATATATGATACATTATGATGTGATATGATGTGATATGAATGATAATGGGACACATCGACGTCTGCACTCACAGTGCCGCGGACTGTACGTAATGTTACTTTGATCCGGTTACTTGTGTTGTGGCAGATATTTAATTAAGCTTTCTTAACGCTAATGTTATAATAGTCAGATTGCTCTGAAGATGGGAGGGGATATTCTATTAATTTTCACGTTCACACAGTCGGTGATTTTTGCCGGCCGTCTTTCCTGCAACGGCAGTTTTTCTGTATTTCCTCTATCCTGTAATATGACTTGATCGCTTTAAACTCCGCACACTGAGCTCTGATTGGTCAGCAGGCGGTGCTTTCACTGAGTTGATCTCTTAGCCTGCAACCTAACCTGCTCCGGACCAGGCTAGCTGCTCAGCATAAGTTACCATGGAGATCTAGCCCGCTAAAAAGAGAACCAGCGTTGTAGGACCGGAAACCCAGAGTTTTCCCTGAGGTTAGCCGGCTAAGCGAAAATCCGGCTTCGTCGTACAGGCCTCTGGCAAGATTTGGTGGATTGATACTTGACCAATCACTGCAGACTGGCTGCTGTCCCACTCACAACAACACACACAAACTAATACACAAAAACACACACACACTACAACCAAAACAGTCTGCTCAGTGTGAAAGCTTGTGCCATTCAGATGAAGTCTGGCAGAGATGGATGTGAGTCAGGTTTATAAACAGTGATGACAACTCAGGATCTGAGTGATGAATGTGATAAATGTCAGCATGACGGATTCATTTCACAGCAGTTATTCAGAGCTGGGCGCGGACTATGACAGTGATGAATGCCAAGAGTTTGATTTGCGTAATTCTTATTCTGCATTAATGGGCTCGGTTCAACCAGAAAGCGCTGAGTCGGATGCTGTGCTGGTTATTCGTGTGACACTGAGACCCCGACAGGCTGCGTGTCATCTCTCCCAACAATCACTTCATTTGTCCACTCTGTTCAAAGATTTTTAATAAGGTAAATCTGCTGCTGTAGTGTTTGATGAAAAGCTGTCCAATATTAGAGAACAAGTGATCATAAAGAGCAAAAAAACATATTTGTGTATGTAGTGTTTCAAAAACTTGCTAAGCTGACCCTAATAAGCTATCGAGACAGCCTGGCAACTACTGTAGTATAACCTGTAGATATCTAAAGATTATCAAAAGTGAAAGAAATGTACAATGTTTTCAGAGGAATATTTATGTGTCTCTCTATGTCATTTTCTGCCACTAGGGGGCTCTCAATCAAAACAATAAGAAAAGAGGGAATTAGCTAGCACCGTAAAAGAGCGGGGTTGCGGTCGAATACTCCAAAAAAACAGCTCCTAACCCTATCGTCTATTCCTTGACCTCGGAGTGAAACGTCATGGGGTTAAGGGATAGTGGATAGGAGAATTCAAAAGGATTTAGGAGAAGAGACTGCGGCACTTTAGAGAATCCGACTGCACTTTCACTATCCGACGTATTTATGATGCGCCAGCAGAGGTCATAAATGTGCGTCTGCTGCTGTGGGGAAACTATGGAAACTACAGTTTTCTATACAGCGGACTACAACATGGATGTTTAATAAGAACGAGGGACTACTGTAAACTCATCTAGAGACTCTGCACCGTGCTCTGATGCTGTTGCTTTATGCTTTATGAACGGGGACAACAGAGAAACATATTCTTCATGACCAAAGTTGGAATTGAAATAAAAAAGGAAAGTGAAACTTATGCTCGTCACCCTCTCCCTCCGGTCCACATTAATACAAATGATCCCAATACGTATGATTGTATGAAAAGATCTTAAAATCAATACAAATGTATTTATTATAAACGTTAGTCCTTAACATCTATCACTGTGTATATCACCATTCAAACATCTTTTAAAAGTTGAACAAACCCCACACAGCTCAGTAAAGACTGTGAAATGTTGACTTTATTTGATCATTTCAGTAAAAACTAACGTTCATATTTCTCTTTTTGATTATAATACTGATGAACGTTCAAAACAAAGCACTTTGGCAACTTACCACATACGTTTTAAAATGCTTAATAAGCACCGTAACTTTCATGATATCATTTCTCGTTCATAATCGGTTGTTTCCGTGAACGGCCGACTGTTGTGTGACGGCAAATGCGGCGGCCGCAAGGCATTGTGGGGCAGCATTTTCTCCTCTCCTTTCGGTTAGGGAGGTCCAGTGGTTCCTAAGCTAAAGGAGGTTATAAAGGAAGTTTGAAACCTCCTTTCCTTTTAATTTAGAGAATTCGAACGGCATTATCATGGCTGCCACTGAGGGACTTCTGGGTCATTTCACTCCGTTAGGAAGGTTCCTAAGCTAAATGGACTATTCGACCGCAACCTGGATCATGGATTGTCAGATCAGTCAGCTTTTTACAGTCAGCACCATTGTTTCTTTTTTTGAAGATTTTTATCGTGAACCAAATTCTGGCTAGTTACGCTGATGCATATGTGTGTTAAAGTTTGAAATTGTTTATTAAATGCACAACTGGAGTATAGTAGTGATAGTTTTAAGTTTGATCTAATGTTTATTTTTGACATCAAAGAGGGTGATTGCAATTTTCTGTTGTTTTTCATTCCTTTTTAATTTCAATCAAACAGCTCAAATCTTACCCAATGAGTGGGTGAAAATCATAACATGTATTTGTCTTAGAGCATGCACACATGTCAATATAACTACTATGACTGTTTTTTTAAGTTTGAATGTGTTAAAATTGGGGCAATTTAAATTGGTATCTCATCACTATTATCACGTAAACTATGAACTGACCGTGTGAAATGGTCCACCAGCGCTCCCACCAGCTCCCCCACTCGGTCCTGGTTGGAGCACAGCTCCCCTCGCTGCAGACACAGCAGGACGTCATCCTGGGAGGTCGTGTGCAGCGCCACCATCTGGTCAGCCCCGCTGGTCACACTCAGCCCTGTCAACTGTGGAGAGACACAGAGACAGATGAGGACACAACAACGACTCTGAAGAGAAGTCGAAGTACAGCTGAAAGGGGATCAATGTTTAACATCCCCCAGTCTTCATGCAGATTATGGTAATGGAGGGTTCGATTGTTTTGGTGCTAATTTCTGTGCTGTTTCAGCACTCAGATTTCCGATGTAACAAATAGCGTTATGGCAGTTAAATGTTTTTCTGTTCAAATGTAATGTTTACTTCATCATATGTTTGAATGTGTTAGTTTTTAGGGTTCATGCTGACTACCTAGTTGCACTACATCAGCAAAATTGCACACAAATATACAAGAACATAACAATTGTGTTATGTGTAAAGAAATACATTTATTTTTCATAGTTTAAGGACATTTTATACTAATAAGACCTTAATAAAACACTGTACTTTAACTTTATTCTGAATGGAAGACTTTGGCACTTTTATTTTAGGGAAAGACCTAAATACTTCTCCTACTTCTGTGTGTAACACCTGATTGTTCCATCAGTTTGTGACCTGAGGGACATTTCAGCCTTTATGCCGAGAGTTAACCTTAATGCCTCTGTACAGAGAGTCTGGTGACACAGTGAGGGCAGAGCGGCTTCTTCTCTATCCTCTGCTTCTGACCTGGAAACAGTCGTATGGTTCACTGTGAGCAGCAGAGCTTAATGTCATCAGCTATCTTTAGCTGCTCGCTGCTGCTGCATACTGATGCTGTTTAACCCTAGCATGCAGTGAGCTCTCTCTGAAACCACTGCTGGACGTCCAGCAGTGGTGACTCATTGTGTAGGTGTTTGCTCTTTAACCTTTATTGAGTATACATTGTACATACAGTAGAGAACAGATCTGTTCCATCTGACTACTGTTTCATATAAACTGCCAGTCAATGATTGTGACAGCAAAATGTTTGAGAAGGACAAAAATGATAAGGGTCAGGCAGTAGCTCCGTCCTTAGGGGCTTGGCTTGGGTACTTGAAGGTCACTGCTGGATAGTCACCAGTTCAAATGGAAAATATATATATAATAATAATAATAACTGAGTATAGCTGGATAGCTGGAGAGGGCACACAACCCCCAAATGGCATGAGAATGTGTGTATGTGTGTATTTAGGTTGTAGTGTGCACAGGTTTTTGCATATGAGTTTATCAACTCTTTACCAACAGAGTGCAAACTGAAATTCTCCTAGGGAATTAATAAAGTTTGTCTTTGACACGGTGCAGTAGTACCAGTGATACATCTATAAAAACAACCCACAATACGAAATGTGTTGAACAAATAACATATGAATTACACTTGTATTTATAGTAAACGTAACACTGGTTGGCAGCCCTCCAATGCAATGCTCATACTTCTTGTATCCTGCTAAGGTGCATGCCTTATGATCGGGTGAGGATGCAGACTTTTTGTCGGGGCATGTATCTTAGCCTCAGTGTTTTATCATATCTATATCTATATGTATGTAGACTTCCTATTTCATTTGTTGCATCTTATTTTTAGCTGGAGCTAAATTCTATTTAACAAAGAATGTTAACGCCTAACTCGATGAGCAACTCCTTCTCCCCCACCGCTGCCCAGGCCTAAATCTGGAAGTGAAATATCTGCCAAAAATCTATTTACAAATGTCATTTAACTTCATTAGTTTGAATTTACGGGAGTACTATTTTTGTGAATGAATGCTGCAGTTCCGAATATTTCTCTCCCCCCCCCTGCCTGAAAGCCTCCATTTCAATTCTTTGTTTACTTCTGTGACATAATGACATCACTACATAACACTCGCGCTTATGTGATAGGCTAAGGGGCAGGACATATCTAGGGGGTTGATCGATCACAACAGAGCCGACCAGCTAACCAATCAGAGCAGACCGGGCTCTGGTTTCAGACAGAGGGTGAAAAGAGGTGCTGCAGCACAGGCAGTATGAGAAGAGCTTTTTGAACATTAGAGCAAGGAGACATGTCCCAGTGGAGACACTACATACTGATATGAACCTGAGAGTGAGCATGATAGGGCCCCTTTAAGAATGTTCAGGTGCATGAATGTGGGAGAGCGTGCATGCGAGTACTCACAATGTCTAAGGGAAGCCTCTTCAGAACCCTGAACCCTTTCTTCGGCTCTAATTTGTACACACACTTGTCTGTGATGAGCAGTCCTCGGTCCGTGCTTTTGTTGAATCTATTCACCTGAGAGACGGAACATGACAGAAGAGGTTTTTATTTATTTATTCACTTTTGCAACTTGTAGGATCTTTTTACTGTCACCTCAAACACTTGTTGGTTTTCCTTGTGGAGCAACAAACGAGCGACACACACCAAACAAAACAAATGCAGATAAAAGGCAAAGGCTCTTGGGGCTTGTCAGTGTTGGTGGTTGTTTTATTTTCCTCTATCAAAGCCTTCACATCTTCAAATATACTTTGTCTAAAGCTTTTTAGAGTTTCTCTACAATCCCTGATAAAGGAAATATGGCCTTTATTATCCACAGAGACTTGATAAGAGTTCATCATGAGGTGAAATAATAAGCAAGGCCTCATCTGACTCCATTAAGTTGAGTGGAAAAACGTTTAAAAGAAAATTGTAGGAGTGAATTATAGTTCCTGATTAATCCTCTGATTATGTTTTCAAATCTCATGTCTTTATACTCCTGTCTGAGAGGGTTGCATGCAACGCTAGGACATGAAATCTCGAGCGGCACAAAAGAGAAAAAGGGAAGCGAGTGGGTGGAAAACGGAGAACATGGCAAGTGAGAAGCCATCCCAAAGCTAAAAAGAAGCAACAAAAGAAAGCAACACATTTTCATTTCAGCGTTTTCTTTTCCCCACGCTCTGTACCTTCCGACAGAAGCCAGAGAAGAGGACCTGGTTGTACTCGTCTATGTTCCTCAGCTCCTTGGAAACTCTGATGAAGGCGGCGCTGGTCTGAGGGCAGTCTCGCACCTGCAGGATTGAAAGACCTCGTGTTATTAACAGAAGCCACTAGCTACAGCAGGAATGTGTGTCGTCGTTAAAACTGCGTGACCCCTCTCAGCCTCTTTTATGGCTTAAATGCGCTAAGCAGCAGATCAAAGCTGGTGGCCTCGGGCTGCTGTTAGCAGACAGCAGGGCAGCTGATGCTGGAGCTCAACTCCATGAGGAGAATTAGAGTCAGGGGCTGCTGGTCTCAAAGCGTGTCATGGTCTCCCTTCGTCACAATATTGTCTCCACTTCCTGTGACCAATTATACTAAGGAACTAGTACTATTCAGCAAAAGTATTGGAGGTTCTTTGGCCTACGTCCTTTAGTACCAGTGAAGGGACTCTTAATGCTACTGATACTGACTACAATGATACTTTATTGTGCCTCCAGATTTGAGACACAGTTTGGGGAAGATCCTTTGGGTCTGGATCATCGTTGTGTAGGAGAGTCAGCCTCTTCTCTCAGTTCTCTCTCTCCTGCCTAATTGCTTCAGTTTTGTTTTAAACGTGTTTTTTTCTAATGATAGTTTACGAGGAAAACATTTAAATGGCTGTAGGGTTTAAGTTCAATAAGATAGAAATTCATGTTTTCTATCTTCCAGCCTAATCTTCCAAAATCGATTATTTGACCTCTCCAGCTCAGTGAGAGACAACAAATCATGTGTCTACTAATGCTATACAAAACAATGATAAGGGAAGAAGCTGCTTAAACGTCTGTGCTTTGCTGGAACATTAGGTTTTTTAAAGTGACAATAACTGCTCATATAGCCACAAAAATAACTATGGTGATGTATTTTTCACCCACAACTTCTAAAATGAGCTTGGAATAATGAAACAAACTTGTTGACTTTTGGTCTTTTGGTGGAGGGTTTCTGAGAATACATGACAATACCCTAATTTGTCTGACTTCCCCTCCTGTCTGCTCTCAGCATTTAATCAGGTCACGATCCAGGCCGACTGCATGCTGGATTATATGCACTCCTCTATAGGTCTTTGTGGAATGAACAACAATGTGGTGAAGCTGGAGCCCTGAAGGAGGCTGGGAGTCACGGGCTGTCTGACAAAGTGACTCGGGAGTGACTCCCTGAAGGCGTCTCTCCAGCCTCTGGCCACCAAACATCTCAGATTAGCCATTAAATGATCTGACTGTGGGATTGGTTAAAGGAGGGCTGTGTTCACACCATGCTCCTTTAGTGACGCTGCGAGGCTCGTCGTCACATGCACCGTATACATTAACACAGATGGTTTTCAGTGATTCAGTACACTGCTGCTCATTCAAGTCTTATTTACTGTGATGAACTCAATCCAATGGATTTTCCCAGTTGTTATGATAAAAGGAATGAGCATGTTGTTGTGTTGCTTCATAATAAATGAGGTTAGAAAACTCTGAGAAAACACACTCAAACACACAATCAAACTTCTCTTGAATAGATATTAGAGTACAATCTTTAAACAAAATAGCATATTAAACTAGAACTAACTTTTTGCAGTGTATTTATAATTTTTCTATCTTTTTGTCCGACCAAAGCAAAACAAATTCTCCACTTCAATTAGTAGTTAAACAATGGATTGGTTAAACATTAAAACATTTCTTCACTACGTTAATAACCAAAAAGATATGTAGTAAAATATTTGTTTTGCACTTAAAAGGAGACATTTGTTTAATATCGCCAATTAAGAACAGAAAATAAGGATTTGACACCTTAAAGTACAGAATAACTGTCAAATAATAAACTGATAAAATGACAAAAACTGCAAAGATATTCCACTTAAATTATAACGGGGTGTGCATAGTTAATTTTCAGAAACTCATATTCTTATTGTACTTTCTTGTATTTTTGTATATTTCTTGTAAATATTTTTTGTAATGTTTTTTTTTTACAGTAGTTCTATATTTGTTGCTTTGTTACAACTTCCTTCCTTTAACTGTGTGTTTATAGTGTGTTTATGTATGCAGTCACTATGCACTACAACAGACCAAAGCACAATCCTTGTATCTCAGGGTTTCCCACACATAGACTTTACTTGAGCGGGCTGCCCATACTAACGGCCAGCAAAGTATATTTCGCGACCCATTTAATTTTTTTTTGTTTCGTTTTTTTGTATCCGCCGTTGTATCCTGCAATCGATTAACTAGTGGACAATGATCCCTCGCTCTACGCCTCCTGTACCTGTTCGCTCTGCTATCGCGTGAAGGGTCCGCTAACAAGCAACCAACAGAAAGGGAGACCTTACGAGAAACAGAGAAGACGCCGTAAACATCGTTTTTTCCAGAGCAGTGTGTGTGCATCATGTTGTTGCACGTCACAAAGGCGCACACACACACACACGCACACACACACACACACACACACACACACACGCACACACACCACTCTCGGGCCCCCCTGGTAGTCACACGGCTCCATAATATAACTGGCAAAAATGTAAGAATGTCATGCATCGGCCTACAGTGGGAAAATTGTGTAATCTGTTGGAATCGAGTAGAAATATCAAATATCACTACTTTTCTTCTAAATGAAATGCTGACATTACAAAATGCATGGTTTTATACTGCAATGGCAGTGAGATAAACAAATGTGGTTTGAATGGAAGTCAATGAGGCATTTTTGGCCACGAAGATGTCCAGAGGTAGTATCTGACACTACGTAAAAAATAATAATGCAATCAAATCAACTTTTTTTGTTAATCTTTGACATATCCAAGACTCTAAATAACCACCAAAGCCCCATCCCCCTACTAATTATTATATGGAAAATAATTGAGGTTTTGTGTGTTTTTGTAATAAATAATGCAAATAATTAAACAGGCATTTAAAGGGTTAAAATCCTGAAAATGATTGAATGTTTGGTAGTTTTCAGCACGTTAGAAGTTGTTTAATTGATTCATGAAAAGAAAGTAGAAAAGAATATTGATGTTATGATGATTTAATAGCAGTTTTTTGGGGGGGCGTGTACATTTTTGCCACGAAGGTGTCCAGAGGTAGTATCTGATACTGCGTAAACAATAATAACGCAGTCAAATAAATGTTGTTGCTAATCTTTGACACATCCAAGACTCTAATAACCACCAAAGTTCCATCCGCCTACTAATTATTATATTTTGTGTTTTTTTGTCATAAATAATGAGATAATTCAAATAATGAAACGAATGAAAAGGGTTAAAATCCAGATTTATTTTTTCAAATGTTTGGTCGTTTTGAGCACGTTAGAAGTTGTTTAAGTGATTCATGAAAAGAAATTAAGTAAAAATAAATATTGATGTATGATGATTTAATTGCAGTGTTTTGGGGCGTGTACATTTTTGCCACGAAGGTGTCGAAAGGATGAAAATTCGAAGAGGGCACAAGGGATATTTCAGATCTGTGGGAAACACTGCATCTGTATACCTTCTTGGCAATAAACCTGATTCTGACTGCTTTGTGTGATGTAAGCCACTTAAGATTCACTTTGTATATCTATTTCTGGAGATTGAATGATATCCACGGCCTTCTTTATCAATTAGAATTTCATCATCACGTGCCATCAAATGACTTCAGTATGACGCTGTGGTCATGTGACAATATGTGTGTAGTATAATGATGAGATTATAACCCCCGTCCCTTTCTTAGCTCACGTGATGACGCCTGGAGAGGCTCCACTCACTGATGAAGGTCATGGGATTCAATTGAAAGCACCACATTCGTTGTACTTAATGTTTCTTAACATTTGTTTACATTGTTTTAAAGTGGATTTAAGTTATCTACACAGCTGTTGCATTACTTCTTCTTACAATATCTGTATTATGAGCTGAAACAAAGAGGACAACATTGGAAAACTGTAGTTTAACTGTTAGTTCAATGTAAAAGTAACTGTTGCAGTCTATGATCTTTTATAAATATTTTTGATACGGCAACACATAAAATAAAATAACTGTACTTCTATGAAAATCATTTTTTCTTCTTTTCATTTTTTGTATGTTGTTTTTGTTCCACTGTAGGTGACTTTATTTGATTTCTACCTTCATACTTGAAATGATTTTGTGTATGTTGTAGAGCTTGTTTATCATGAGGTTTGTAGTCATTTCCCTGTGATACTTGAGGTCACTCACCAGGGTGATGCGTTGTGATTGGATAACTCACAGGATGGCTATTGTTCTTCAATGTACTTTGTTTTTCTTGGACCTTGTCTGTATAAATTGTTTGTTAGTATTGAATTAGTTGATTAAATACAATTATATATCTAAAATAAGAACACATGTCTTTCAGAGGTTGAGAAATGGAATACTTTTGCTTAACTAGAATGATTTTGTATGTAAATAAAGAGTAATCAGGGACTTCATGAGCTATTTTAACATGATGTGTTGCAGATCATTGACCTTAAGAGCACCCTGACTGATCATGTGCGTTCCTTACGTTGGCCAGGTAGTCCCTCTCCCAGGCTCTGCTGACCCCCCAGTCCATCCTCTCTCCGCTCAGTGCAGTCAGAGCTGCCACTTTGGCCCGGACCTCCAGCATGTCAGACGGGGGGATGTTCTTCACGATCTGCCTCGCCCACCACCTGACAACATGGGGTGGCAACAACACAGAGGGTCAGCTGGGTGGAATAAACATCAGAGGTGCAACTGAGGACCATACAGTAGGAGGAAAAGCTTCAAGATTAGACTGTGTGACTCATTCAAGTTATTCTGCAACCATTAGAAGACTAGGCCAACTTTGTTTTGGTTTCAATTAGATTCAACGTTATTGTCATTGCACAGAGTACAAGTACAGAGACAACCAAAGGCAATTAGCATCCAACCAAAATGTGCAAAAGAAACAGTAAACTACAGTGTTAAGTATAGTATAATATAAGTATATAGATATAAAAAATACAGTATGGACAGTATTTATGATAAACTGTGTAGATATGAGTAGGCTACAGAAGCTGTTTGGACAGAATAAAATAACTAAAAGAACTAACGTGCGAAATCAGTATAGAAATGATAGCCGATTAATAGTTAAAGTCATTTCCACACAAATATGGCACAAAATAAGGTTTTCAGTCTACCAAGTATTGAGATTTCCTGTTTTTTATCATATGGAAATATTTAGGTTTTGGACTGAGAAAATAAGAAATGTCAAGACATTACCTTGGAACTTTCTATTTCATTGACCAAATGATTCATCTTGAAAATAATCAGCAGATGAATAGGTAAGCAACATAATGATGAAGTTCTGCCCTGGTTAAATGATTGTTTTACAAGTAGATGAGAAAATGTATGCCGCTCTTGGTCTGTTTGGTCAACATGAAGCTAGAAGGCGGAAGGAAACAGTTAGCCTGGCTCTGTCCAAAAGTAACAAAACCTGCCTACCAGTACCTCTTGGGTTTACTAATGAACAAGTTGCATTTTGTATATTTGATCTAGATGATAAAAAGTCTTTTCAGGGTTTTTCTTCATCTTTTCATCCACCACCGGTGTCTAGACTCCATCCTGTCTCAAGGCATCTCTACCCCGTAATAATTAGTTCATTATTAGCGACGGACTCTAATCTCCAAAGACTCTCACACTTGATTCTAATGTGCAACATGTCTATACATGAATTGTCACTCTTAAATGAAGTCCCTCCTGATTGAGATGCTGTGTGAGCTGTATTGAGTGTGATCTGACCTGCGGTGCAGCATGACGGTGTTGTTGTGGAACTGGGACAGCGCTGCGGGCGGGGTCGGCCACTCCACGCTCTTCCCGTAGTCGGCCATGGTGCGCACGTTAGTGAACCTCCTCTCCACCTCCCAGAAGTGGGCCTTCACCTTGTAGCGCTTAAAGCAGCCCATGATGGCGTAGATAGCCCTCATTCGCCGGCACCTCCTACGAGCCAGAGCCCCTCGCCACACCTTTTAGAGTTTTAGAAAAAAAAGAGGGACGTATTAATGACAGAATCAGGAGAGGAGAGACGAGAGAGTCCCACTGAGCTCTTGCTCCAGTTATAGAGCCACACTTCTCTGAAAAGACATCAAAGTAGGTCATGTGAAAGAGAAAGGAGAGGGAGTTTCATTGAGCAAGTGAACTAATTGACTATAATGTAACTGGATCTCATTAATTATCATAATTATTGCTACAGGAAATTAGAATTGGAGCTGGAATTTCAGTCAAGCATAACCAGAAGCCACATATTGATGAGGCTTTGAGACACAGAGAAGTGCGTTTGAAAGTAAAGAAGATAACGCTGTGGATGATGAACTCGGTCACATGATGAGCTGCTTGTGACTTTACAGTGGTGCTCTCTGTCAATAATAGGAATGTCGGATTCATCCATTCTAATGAATGTATCATGTAGAGATATGACATTACAAATTGTTTTGAGGCTGAGGAAGAATATACTAAAAGCATCGCTGATGCTAACATACACAAATAATTTGATTGACCTCATAGCATTTCAGGTCATGTACAGAGAAAAAAAACGATTATTTCTCAAATAAAAATCTTATATCAAAGAGATAGTAAGCATCATTTATAATGACCTAATGCATAATATCAGTCTTTTATAGTCAAAGAAGTACATTTATGGAAAAAAAGTATAGCGAGAAAATGAAAACATGTGGGAAGAAAGGTTCAAATGTATGGTATCATTATGAAAGGAAAATGAAAGTAATGAAAAATAATAAATGTTTGTCATTTAACAAGTGGTGAGCTATCAGTCAAAAATAAAACATCTAAGTTAGCATGCATAGTAGGTTTGTTTTTAGTTTGATCAAATACAAGACAAATTGATAGAAGTTTTTCCTACTTCTTTTTGGAAAATATACAACTAATATAGTATATATATATATATATATATATATATATATATATATATTTGCTGTCCTGGGACCCAGCCCATTGTAGTGGACATTTTGTTAACATGCATCTCCTTTTACTCTTTTGAGCTACTCTATCAGTCCCTGATGTACTGTACAGAGGACATCTATCAGTCCCTGATGTACTGTACAGAGGACATCCGGGTCTTTCCAGTGATATGTCATTGGTTAAAATTGCATGCTGGGAAGTTCCTCTTTCTTTTCATCCAAAATGGCTGGCATACCAAAAACAAAATGTTATAGAAGCAGGAGAAGTCAAATATTGTTGAATAATTGTAATTTTTACCATGAAAATCATATATGTTCTTGTTTATTAACATGTGAGGAACTATAAAATTAGTTCTGAAAGCAATTAAATAATTCAAGTTTTCAAATAACAGCTCTTTTATAAATGTCCATTCTAGTTTACGTCAGGACCATCTTCATGGACTTAATGACTCAATATTGTTGCAGGAGACGGAACTGAAGCAGACATTTTCTGTACCAGATAGTTAAGGGAGATTCAGATTTTGAGCTCTCATGAGAGAGATGAGGCTTTCACACCTGGGATAGAAGAGGGTCAAGAAGAAGGGGGGGAAAGATGCAGGAGGCTCCATGAGCGCACAGATACAGACAGAGAGACAGATAGGGACGAGCTGGAAAGACATGGCCCCCTGTGGGCCAAGAGTAGCACGTATGTCTTATTGTTGTTTTTATTTTAAGTGGAGCCATGAAAATTGAGAATTGCCTCAGGAATGCAAGCTTTGTTTCTATGAGCATGGTCAAATGGAGACCACATCCATAAAACTAGTCAAGATGGCCCTACAGCCCGTGCTAAAGGTGAATGTATTCTTTTATTAATATCACTCTATAACCATAATACGTTACATAGTCTATCTGTTCATTTTGGCTGTCTTTTCAAACTAAAATGGTCCCGACGTCCTCTACAGTGGACATACTGTAACATTTAAAAATTAAATTAAATTAAAAAAGTCTAAATTGCAAGATGTTTTTTTAACCCTAAATAGGTATGAAATCACAAAAAAAAGGAAATTGGAAGACACTTTTTTTCCTCGGGTCCCAGGAGGATATATATTTTTAAATATAAAATGTATGAAATAAAATCTAAATATAATATCAAATTTATACAAAACTAATATGGCCGACCTTCTGCAGGAAAAGCACCAGGATGGGGATGAGGGCGGCTCTCTCCTGCTCCAGAGTGTAGAGAGAGCGAGGCGAGCGCACAAACAGCTTGGTGTGTCCGTACGCCACGTCGTCCTGGAAACCGTGCTGGGTGATGATGGCCTCCACCGCCTCTCTGTCCGACGCCATCATGTGGTTCGGCCAGGTGTACTCGCACGTCATTTTATACCTGAAAAAGAAGAAAGAGGAAAATTAGGGCTTACAGTACGATGACCACAGTGTTGTTCTGTAAATATGAAAGTAGAACTATTGTTACTGTAACTGAAAGGTTTTTAATGTATCTGTAAAAGTCTTCTTAGTTGTTTAAGTTAAAGGCTCACTTGTTAATATACATGTATCATCCAGGGGTAGAGCTTCTAAGCTGTTGGAAACAGTTTTACAATTTCTGTTATGGAGATTTGCAAGGTTTGATACAATTACTCACAAAGACCAAATTGACAATATGCATGCGGTACAAAACACTTTTACGAAGTAAAATTCCATCATAGTAACAAGGAGTACTGGATAGTTTGGTACATTTACCATCCCTGGTGTTACACTGAGCTGCTGTAGTAACACAGAAAACACAGGACTTTATCTTCATGGAGTAAAAGAGCATCACTTACCGCTGCAGGACGCGAGCGTAATGCTGCCTGTAGGCGAAGCCCGCTCTGCGCACCATCACATTCTCCATCAGGCCCAGGTAGGCCACCTGGTGCTGGCAGCGAGCGTCGTCAAACAGCACCTGAGACTTCATCTCGTTGGGCTTGATGCACCGCACATAGTAGGGCTCCTGGAGGACAAGACAGAAGAGATGGAGGTAAATCCTCAGCTTTGATCCGGTGTTGTTTTGCTGCAGCACTGAGGAGAGCACGATAAACTGCCTGGTTTTATTTACTGTAAAACTTACCAGCAGGGATCAATAAGTTATCACATCATCACATTACTGCAACTAGCTTGAGCACAAATGTACAGAAAGATATACTGTAATACTGCAGTAAAATTCCCCTGCATTTTAAAGCAATCAGTTTGGTTGTTATTTTATTTTAATTTGTTTGTGTATGTATTTATTTTCAAAAATATATATTCATATTTTAATTTTTATTGTTATTTTTTAATTCTTGTGTCTTTTACATTATGTCTGTAAATATGGAAAAGAAACATGGCAATGCCATGTTTTGATTCTTTGAAAATGATCCTTTACAATCTAATCATTAAAACACTTTTTTCACAACACTCTTGTTTTATCACCTGCACAAACTTGTTGATTGTTGTATGTTTTTATAATTTTTTTTATCACTGCTAGGTTTATCACTGTGCGAATAAATAAACTACACTGACTAGCACAGAGCCACAGCCGAGTTGCAAAACTGTAAAGCTGAGTTCACTGACCTTAATCAGACTTGCAGAATATTTCAACAGAGGCTACAGTGAGCAGCTGAGCCTCATAACACATCCAGCACATCTACTTATTAACAACACATTTAACTGCCAATATAAACCTTGAAAACGATAAAGCCTTCAGTGTGGGGTAACCGCCGGACGCCTGCACCTGGTCAGGGATCTTTTAGGGAAAGGGACTGTGTGTCAAGGTCGATGAAAGATGAAGAAGTTGGGATAAAGTGACCACTTTCTGCTCCCCGGCACTAACGTTCATCATGACAAAGATGCATGGGCCTCGGTGCCCACAGTTTCAACTTGTTTTGGCAGAGATTGAGGAGAGGACTCAGTTAATGGGAGCAGATGAGGTGGGCAGAATGGGCACAGGTGCTTCTGTTTGGCAGATGAGGAAAACATCCGCTCTTTCATCGTGACCTGAAGGTTGCCAGGGGAGTTTCCTTTCCATTTTACCTCTGCCAGGCTCACACCGAGACGAGACGTTACAGCATCCTGACAGCAAGCCGCCCCAAAATAACAGCAGGAAATGTCAGACTTCAGTCAGGGAGATGAGGCCAGGTGAGGTGAGCAGCACATTTTGTGAAGCAGCACCACCTCCCCCTCACCAACATGTCAACTCCACAGGCAGCCTGACAGGATGAGGACAAGCGCCCTACAAAAACTGTTACTCCCTGACACCAAAAACAGCACGCTGCTCTGTATACATGTTCCTGCTGGACGGCTGCATACTGCCTCTCGCTTCATTTTGTGTCATTCACAGTGACAGGCCGTCCTCCCAGAAGAGACATCGCACATTGGCAGCCTCAGAATAGCGTGTGACTCACACAGGCTTTAGAGAGCAGAACAGGGAAACTGGTGCAGAGCATCTTCCTGAAGATGTAAACTAGGGAGGAGATCTACGCTCAACACTAAAAACTCCACATATCAAGATAAGATATCACAACATCAAACCTACAGTACCTATCAAGAATGAAATTGTCTGAGATTTGGTTCTGACTTTTGAAGCTCTGTTTTACCCATAGAATGTATACAATTTGGCAAAGTCTCCGTGAAGTCACCAATTGGTTTCTGTAGAGGCGTTGTGACTCAAGGAGCTCAAAATGGGTGCTTCCGGTCATCACCAGAAAAGTTTCTTTCTGCTGTAAAGTTGGGCCTTTTACCATGGGGGTTTATAGACATTATCTCCATTTTGGAGCAAGCCTCAAGTGGCCAATCGAATAACTGCAATTTTGGGTCTTACACATCTTCTTCACTACTCAGCCCCAGCAACTACCACATGTTTTCACCAGGTCAAACAACAAAACGTGTAGTTGCTACAAAACAAAGCTGGAAAATAAATCAAACCACAGTAACTGGGTGTGAAGCAGAGGTGGGAGTGTCTTACATGTGCAAGTCATGAGCAAGTCTCAAGTCTTAACCTACAAGTCTCAAGCAATTCCTAAGTCACTGTGGTGAGAGTCAAGCAAGTCAAGTCAAGTCAAGTCATTGCTCAGGTCAAGCAAGTCACAAGTCAAGTCATACGAAATTCTGATGAATAACCCCAGTTTCCGCATTTAAATCAGTTAAAATATTGTGGTTATGAAAAGTTTAGTTTTATTTTCAACATAAACAGCAATGGAGAGTGGGGCGCTGAAATGATAACCCTATAAGTTGTAAAAGGGCTCTAAAGTGATAACAGGATATTTTACATCAACATGTTAAGCCTCCTGCCCTGGCTCCCCTTCAGCAGGGTCACAGTATTTCTCCTGTCTAAGGCGCCGTTTACACGAGGAGAAAACTGCTTGTATCTGCATAGTTTTGCATGTGTATAGCCCTATTATTTACACGAGGCCGATAGAAACTGACCCCACAAACAATAACGGGTCCCAAGGTGGATAGATTTGCAAACGAAACGCTCTGGGGGGTCAACCGAGTCCGTGTAATCACCTCTATACGAATATTTCCTGAAAAAATAGCGATAGCCCCACCTCTCCCCACCTCTCCTGCTCACTGCTGTAGCAACTATCAAAAATAGCTGTGTTCATTAAACGCACAAGGGGTTCTTGAATGAAATAATATTATAAAAGGCAAACCAGAATTGTTAACGCCCAATATACTCCTTAAACAAAATAAACAGAATCAGATTTCATGCATTGATCCATTATATTGACAAAGGTGCATCTCACCCGGTGTTTGTAGAGAATATCTCTCTTTCTGAGCGCGTCCTCTCCACAGAGACGTGCTTCTTGGTCGGTCGATGCAATATCCACAGATTCGGTTTCTTTCAGTTAACTTCCCCGTTGCATTTATCCATATGCTGAGGAAATGACTATATCCCGCTGAATACCAGCAATCGCCACACACACTGACTTCCTCCTGTCAGTAGCTACTGCTAGTGCTACTGCTACTGACCATGCTACAGATATTAGTGCAAAATCTACAGCTCCTCTACCACAACCATCAGCAACAAGTGGACATGGAGAATTACATGAACTACATGTTGCTAAATACACCGCGGGGCTTAAACAGAAGGGTAGCCATGGCAACATTGCGGCGGGGCTGCTCTTCTTCGCGGCTTTTGGTGTATTTTGGCGGAAGTTACAGCGCCACTTACAGTCCCGGCATATGTACTACAGCGTTTCCAGCGGCCTCGTTTGAACAGACACGTTAAATGAAACGAATGCATGTGAACGGAAGACTTTTTTGAATACGCATACTGTGCATAAACGCAAACGGTCCTGTGTGAGCGGGGCCTAAGGTGCTCCCATATGACACTGTCTCATTGTTTTCCTAACTGTGTCTGTGCACAAAGAAATATTGCATCAAAGCCAATACAACGGAATAGTGTATGTACCAGGGCGCATGATATGTGTGTGTGTTTGTGTGCAGACAGTGTGACATTAAGATTAAACACATTTCTTTCATTTGGGAACACCCACATATACATATGGAGTTGACCAGATGTGTGTAAATTACTGTTCATGGTAACATGAAAACAAATGCCGTTGTCGGACACACACCGAACACACACACACAGAGAGCAGAGCTGAGCAGAGCACAAACATACACACATCATGCGCCTTAGTGACCGGACATCTCCTTCATAAAACGAGTAATAGGGGGATTAATCGGGCAGTTCGATGTGTGTCGAGGTGTGTGTGTGTGTGTGTGTGTGTGTGTGTGTGTGTGTGTGTGTGTGTGTGTGTGTGTGTGTGTGTGTGTGTGTGTGTGTGTGGTTAAAACCTAGCAGCCTGCGGTCGCTCTTCAGCTGTTCTAATGAAAGTAAACACAGTGAAGGCGTTGCGTAGCTCTTTGCGCGCTGGTGCTGCTCTTCTCAGAGGCGGAGTTACACGTCCCGCTGCCTCCTGGTGCTGTAGCGATTTCATGAAGTGAATGAGAGTCCGAGTTCGAAATATATCTAAAATAATGTATGCACTGCCATTTCCCAACATAAACATTACAGTCTGCAATGAAACGGCAGTGTGCTCCACTTCCTACTTGGCGCTCCGGTAACTTTCTCGTGCGAACGAGATACAGTATCTTTTTTTTTTTCATTGCCCTTTAGGGGCTCCGTACAATACAAAAACAAATGCAAATATTGAATTAAAAAAAGTAAAGTCCTTTTGAGTCATCTGTCTCAAGTCAAGTCAAGTCTCAAGTCATGAATACCAAGTCAAAGTCAAGTCTTTTATCAATGTTAGTCAAGCAAGTCTCAAGTCCAAAAATATGCGACTCGAGTCTGACTCGAGTCAAGTCATGTGACTCGAGTCCCCCACCTCTGGTGTGTAGCCTAATACACAACTCAACATAACAACTATATCAAATGTTAGCTAGCTGATGAAATAGCTGTGGTTAGCTTAAAGTTAGAAAATACACATTTTTCTTAGCTCAAATACAACAATGTAAAGAAATGTTGATTTTATGAATCCCCAGAACTTTATGAAGCAGTCATGAAAGACAAAAAAAAAACGAAAACTTCTGCTAAAGTTGACTAACTTCATCAAATGTTAGCTAGCTGGTGAGACAGTCATAGCTAAAGCTACAACTAAATGTACTGTTAGTTGTCTGTATCTTCAAATTATTCATTTTAATCTTGGCAGTTCATTTACATAAATTATTTTGCATTAGTAAATCAGGCATGAGTGGACAGAGAAAAAATGGTTGCCAAGCTAACTAGCCTAGCAATACTGTCATTTAAATGTATTAAAAATGTTTTTGTATTACTTGGATTTCAATCAACATTTATAATCATAAACAGACAAGAGTCACTGATTAAAAGAGATTGATTTCATTCCTAAATTCCTAAAACTATAGACTGTAAATAGCTTAAACTAAAATATTTGGACACAAAAGCAGATTTGTTTTTTTAAATACATTATGATATTAGATATTTATTATGTAGGCCATGTACAAAATAAATTAGCCTAAAAGGGCACAACATGGTGGCATTACAAACGTTATCTGAAGCACAGTTTCCCTGCCAGCCTGAACACTTTAAAGCTTTTTTTCTCAACTTCACAGATTCCATAATTACTGCTGTCTTTATAGAGATACTTGGCTCTACTTTAAACTTGTCAGAATTAGGTATCTTCGATCAGTCTAAATACGGCAAATGCCAACCACAGCTTCCCTTGAGGGTGAAACGGAAGGGAACAGAAAGTCAATCTTAAGCTGAAATCACTGACCTTGCAGCCCAGTTTATCCACCAAGGCCACAATGGAGTTCTTGAAGAGTGTGGCTGCGGTCAGAGGTCGCTTTGTGACCTCTGTGATGCTCAGCTGACCATCTGGCCACATCTCCTTCATGACTGGGTTGGCACTACGACAGACAGAGAAAGATAGGATGTCATTAACTTTGTAGCAGAGTAGTGATGGCAAGAAACTCATGATACACTGAACCCAGTTAACTGAACTGTCAAGAGCATCGTGATGTTTGGCACCTGTTGTACATGAGACGCTTGAAATCTTGGAAAAGCAGGTCCTTGTTTTTGTCCAAAAAGCCCTCGACGGAATATCTGTAATAGATATAGGGGGAGAATGTGAGAGTTACAAAAAGGAAGAGGGGAGCATCACTGAAAACACACTTGAAGTGAAGAGGTCAGAATAAGATGTTACATTTGAAAGCATATCAGACAGAAACCAGCAACGTTTAAGCAACAGTCATTAAAGGGTCATTTTCAGTACCCGTTAAAAGACTCCACTCTCTGCTACAAATGATTCAACGTCCTCAGGCTGGAGGATTATAGCAACACTCGTGCCGCTTAGACGATTTACAAATTAGGAACACGGTCAAATGTTCCCCCACGGCTCACGTTTTAGAGGAAAAAACGAACTACGAACTAATCTGTGTGTCTTTTCTTTTAACTGCTCAGTTGGTTTTAGTGAGGCATCAGCAGGGGGTCACTGGCGCACTGTAAGTTATATAAGCTGTCCAGCCTCTGGGATAAAAGGCTGCTGTAGTGTTGCCTCAAATAAACTACTACCCTCTCATCAGTTGCTCACAATGTAACAACAACTTACAGTGTGGATGATTTGCTAAAGTTGCATCCTGTATTCAAAATCATATTTAGTCCTGAAGTTATAGAATCCAGGGTTCCCACACCTTCTTTATTCTATCAAATTAAAGGTCTTTTGAAGGACTTGGCACCAGAGTGATAATACATCTTCGATGCCATGTTAAATCGAGAAGAAAAAGAAGAAAACAAGTTCTGCTACACAAATGTATTTTTGTATGTATCAGGTTCATATCAGTATGTAGTGTCTCTCCTGTGACATGTCTCCATGCTTTAATGTTCAAAAAGCTCTTTATTTGTCTCATACTGCATGTGGTGCGGCACCTCTTTTCACCCTCTGTCTGAAACCAGAGCCCAGTCTGCTCTGATTGGTTGGCTGGCATGCTCTGTTGTGATTGGTCAACCGCTGAGAGATGTGCCGTCACTTAGTCTATCACATACAATGTGGTGGAGCGCTAGCCAACAGAAGCACAAGTGTTACATAGTGATGTCGCTATGTTACAGAAGTGAACTAGGAGTGCAATGGTTGCGATCCAGGGGGGGGGGGGGGGGGGGGGGGAGTGTGGGAGAGAAACTCAGGGAACACAGTGATTTTAGCCTTTGCAGACCATTTACATGCACAAAAACCTATAGAACACACTACAGGAAAGGGACAACCCCTAATAAAGATCTAATAATAAAACTAGCCCATTATTCACACCATCAGTAAAAACACAAGAAATTGATTTCAATATATAGTACTTTCATTAATTCCCAGTGCTTCTCAGAGTATTTGCAGTCTATGGCTCTTCTGCACAGGGTCTCTTGCTCTCCTCTTGGCAGTCCCTCCCTCGCTGCAACAACACCACCATTAAGCTTTATGCAAATAAACTTGCGATGACGTTGCCAATACGCAGATGAGAGTGTGGGAGTGATGATAGAAAAGAGTTGGCAACGCTGCACAGGACACACTGCATTTTGTTGTTCACGGCTTTAAAACAAGTTTTTTTTCCCGGGAGATAGTACCCCGTGGCGGAAAGAATGGCAAAGTGAAAGCGAGGCGTATAGGGATCCAATTTAAACCCAGTTGGTGTCATTATTCTATAGCAATTACATGGTGCGATCAACATTTACTTCATAATGATAAGCAAAAAAATACCCTATAACGAATAAAGTTCCTGTTAGAATTAAGAATAAGTACAGGATTGTTAGTAGCCAAATGTAATGCCTTTTGATGAACTGCAATCTTTTTGCTCTTCCACAGTCTTCACTGCTCAGCCCCAGGTAAACTGTACTTGAGTAGTGAGTACTGTACTGACTGCAGTAGTTCACACTGATCCACACACTTTTTTGTCTCAGCATCCCTCCCTCTAAACAAACAGACACACAGCATGTTACATGTGTCCTGCATGGCCCTGACTGTGACTGTGTCCTAGACTCTCACATCTGGAGGCAGAGAAGCGAGGTCCTGGCTGTAACAGATGTGTTCCCTGGGTTCACGGGCGGCCACACCGCCTGACCAAATCCCGGGAAGCTCGCCGCAGAAAGACAGAGTGTGAAAGGAGGAGAGAGAGAAGTCAGAACAACAGAAAAACAAGCCACAGCGCACATTTACAAGGACAGGAGAGGAGAGGACAGGAGAGGAGAGATGAAGGCAGCTGCTCTCCAGAGACAGGAGCATGATTTAGAGGAAAGTATATTAATGTATGAAGGTCAAGGGCTGTTGGAAGGAGAGGACTGTGATGTACAAGGGTAAAGAGAGCTGACACATGCATGCAATATCCCTTTTTCTGGGAATACATTCCTATAAGCTGTACACATGGTTAATACAAATGAATATTCCTCTAATATTCCGGCACACATGCACCCGTGCGTGCTTGGATTAACGTAAAACACATCCATGACGTACATCCTGCGGCTACAGACTTTATATAACTGACATTTCCTTCCTTTTTCAAATCCATGTTGTCAAACAGTGTTTTGTTTTCATAAAGTAGGGGTGTTCCCTCCTTTTTTCCATTTAAAAACAGGCAATAGTGTGTTGCAAACTGCAGGGAAAACCTCATAAGACATACTGTATACTCTTACTGCGCAGTATACATGTCCAAAGAGCGCTCATAAAACCTGTATATTATAGACAGATCCTTCTGTCTTAACTGAAAAGGTTATGCTTTCCAAATAAAATACTTAAATGATCCTAATTTAAAATAGAGAGATTAGAACATGATTGTTCACATAGTCACAGAGAGATCCAGGCAACAAAGATGTGAGATTTCTCGGTATATAAAGTTGTGCAGTGAGGGAATAATATGATATATATCGTATAGCTGATGAAAGTGCTGCATGTGCAGGTTGGAATTCTGCAGGGATTTAAAATGTGGACGACAAAGAGAGTCAGGTGAGGGTTGCAGTACAGAGGCAGGAGGGGGAAAAGTGGAGAAGGGGAGGAGGAGGGAGCGAAGTAGGTCAAAGCTGGGGATAGTGGTGTTGTGAGAGTGGAGGGTGGGGCCTGAAGGATGAGCGTTTATTTAACCAGTGTGGACTCGGATGCGGGGGCATGAGACAGGGGATGGCGGGGGGCCGGAGCCACCAGGAAGCGACGTACGTGGGGAGACGTGAGGCAGGGGGACGGGAGCCGCCATCTGTCAGCGCACTGCAGGTCTGACACACTCTGACGCAGCATCACCACTTTTAGTACTCTACTGTACTTATGTGTTTTCTAAAACATGAAATAAACATCACTGAATCAAGGTTTAAGCATTTTTACGTATATATTTTAAATAAAAACACATGAGGAGCTTTTAAAATATGATGCATTATAAGGGGTTAATGACCCAAAACAGTGGTGGAGTATCCAGATGATTCACTTCAGTAAAAGTACTTATTGAAAACTATGAAAATATGTGGTAATTTATATCGGATATGCAAGTACAATCGGGATTTTTGTCTTAAAAGAAAAAGTACTCAATGAAAAAATGACCCCATATTATGACTTTATTAGATGTGTATTATTTGTGCATTAGTGTTAAAATAGGATGTACTGGCTGTATCTGGTGAGGTGTTGATCATTATGACCTAATAACTCATCGTGGATCGTTTGGTTTGTACAAAAAAATGTAAGCTGTGAGATAAATGTACTGAAGTACAATACTTTCCTTTGAGTTGTAGTGAAGTAGAGGTTGAAAGTAGCATGAAAAGACTCAGGTACAAATACAAGTACCTCAATTTGTATTTAAGTACAGTTCTTGAGTCCAAGAACTTTGCTACATTACACCACTTCCCAACCTAACCATCATTGTGGTCAGATTCCACTTGTAAGGATGTTTTGTTCATCATTCAGGGGGTTTTGTACTGGAAGCGTAATTATCTGCAGAGGTCTACTGTCCTTCAAAACAAGGTGATTTAAACCTCTACACCAAATATCAAATCTGATATTCTCCCAAGCTGTTTGAGTGATCAAGTAGCTACAGTAATGTTCAAGGTAAAAAGGTCTAAAATAGAAAAAAAGAAGGTGTATTGGGAAAAAAAAGGGGCTTGAAGCTGGATAAAAAACGAAATGTATGATGACAAACACATGTTCAAAGGGGAGAGAAATTACAAGCTACTAAATAAAACACACAGATTTCTCTTTTCTTTTTGTAGGAAACTTTTGGTATAATGTAAGCACTGTAATGTATAACATAGATCCAGTCGTTTTCAGACATTTTAATATACATATACCTACATGCAAAGGATCTGAATACTACTGAACTTTGACAAGGGGAGGGCAGTTATGGAGGACAATCACAGTGCAGTAATTGCCTGTGAAAGTAGTTTTGAGCTTGGATGAAGTTGCTCTGTGTTTCGTGTGTACGATGTCGTGTTAGCCTGGATTTCCAAAACCGTCTCAAAGCCTTTAAATGCATATATTGAATTCATTTCTTTCAAGATATAATCAAGCCCATGAATTCTGTTGAAGTGTCTTTTTTCAAATCCCCTACCAAATCTCACAAAGGCAAAGATATTCACAGAGAGGATCTTTATCAATTAAAACTAAAAGAGAAGAGATGCTTGAAATTAGAAAGTGTATGTCTAATCTGACATATACACATGCTTCTGGTGTGGTTGGGAATATCAGCAAATTATCATATTCAATCAATCTGACATTTGCATCATAGCTTGGATCAGATCTTTCTTTTAACAAGAAGATGTGTCAGAAGACGTAGGAAATCCGTCAAAGTGTCACCAGCCATAGAATAAAGGGAATAATGAAAACAAAGAATGAGTCCTAAAATAAGAAATGTTACAAATCAAAGCTGCAATAGAGTGATGCAGTGACAACGGGTTATTGTAGCCCTGGATGTTAGCAGAGCAAGGATCATCTCCACATATTAAAGTGGACCTATCATGCTATATTTGAATAATATAGTGTAGGACCATACCTATATAAGGCATATTTATACTTTTTTTTTTTCAAAATACCAAACAGATCATGCATTTTAGCCATGCCTCATTTCGCTCAATTTGACATTTTTTAGCTCTGTTTTTGCAAGGGTTGATTCTGTGAGAACAGCACCATCTACAGGCCTGGCATATGTACTACAGCGTCTCCAGCGCTTTCGAACGGCAATGCCGTGGCTGTCTCCTCCTGATTGGTGGAGTTGGCCCAATAGCCGTAGCGCCACCGTCCTGACGTCAGGACAGTGTTCAAATCTGGATCAGTTTTTATCAGATCCGTTGCAGCCCCTTTTTTAGAGATTTGGGTATGGAGGAAAATAGAGAGGGTTGTGTTTTCTGACACTTGGTGAGTTCCCTGGAACACCGGGGACACATATTCATGTATAAAAGACGTACAAAAGTGCATTTTGCATGATAGGTCCCCTTTAAAGTGTAAGTGCAATCACCAGAAGTAAAAAGCTTACATTAGGCTATAAAGGAACTACATCAAAGTTGCACATCACAACTGCTATGCTAAAGGCATCCAGTGTGACGATGTTTAGTAGTCTCATTAGCCACTTGTTAGCAACTGACATTTTTGAAACACCTAAAACTCAAAGTGTCCTCAGCTTAACCATATCTAACCAAAGACTCTTTAAAAAAACAATTGACTTCAGGACGAGGGTAGCAGTCTCATTTTGCCACCGCTGTTTCTATGACACACAGTAGCTTTGGACATTCACCATTGGGGTATTTACTGATGTCATTTATGAAAATCTCTTCAGCTTGTGTTAACCACAGTTTTTTCTTTCGGGCATCTAACCAAAAACACTTTTAAAAACGATTGACTTCATGGGAACCACAAGTGGTAAAATGCTAACTCAATACTGGGTTTAAGAACTCATTCCTCCACCACTCCATACGGCACGTTCTAAGTAGATGTGACCACTGATAGTGTGCAGTGAACACATGAGAGCATCACGCCTCTAAAATGCCATATGTGTTGATCATGAATACATTTGTATCTGTGTGCTGGCTGTGCAGGTCAGTGGATGCACTGAATGTATGCGGGTGAATGGTTTTTAAATGTGTTTTTACATGGGTACAGTACATATAATGCCTTAAATAAGCACGTATACAACCGGATGACATCCTAAACTTATACTGATAGGTCATAATGTTGGCTTTTAAGGTATAAGGCAAACTTACAAGACTATTTTTCTTAAACAAAGTTGATCCCATACAAACTTGTGGCTTCAACAGGAGCATGAACCATCGTTTCCCTCTCTCATCGTAGGGCTGGGCAATATATTGATATTATATGGATATTGTGATATATGACTGGATACTGCTTAGGTTTTTAGTATCATTATATCCTAACATGACATAAGAAGTGTATTTTTCTAGGTTTTAAAGGCTGCTTTTCATTAAAATGATGCACTTCTGTGAATTAACCAACATTTTCTAGCTGTTCCATTATCATTATATCCAAATTACTGATGATTATTTTTCAAAAAAAAGCACAAATAGTCAACACAACAATATTGTCCTTGATAATGATAGTGAGGTTTTCATCAAACATATTGTGATATTGATTTTCTCCATATCATCCAGCCCTGTTTTGAAATGATGGCTAATAATCATAACCCACAATTCAGATTTCATGTCATGAACCTCACTGAGGAGCTCTATTTTTATATTTGTTGTTAATATGGGAATTTACAATAACTTCTGATCAGTAAAGCTGTCACTTTCAGTCTAGCGCTAACACCTCCACTGGAATGACCCTATGACCCCACAGCTGCCAATGTCACAAACTGACCTCTAATAGGATTGTTTAGCTTATACTTATGAACTCTGCAAAACACCCTGTCGCTCTTCCAGCCACAGACTGGCCCGAGGCCGAAGCAGACCAATGTGAACATGTGAGAGACTCACGTGACATCTCCTGCATAGTGGCGAATACGGAACTGTTTCTGGAAGTCCATGGTTTTGTCAGTAGGGCTGAGCTGGGAATGACAAGGGGACACTTTAAATAATATATACAATATTACAAACATTCACAGTGTACAGCTTTGAGAGGAGGGAATTACAGCTTTAGTGCCCCTGCTGTTGGAATAACTTGTTATGATCTCTCGTAATGCAAAGAAATAAAGAAACTCTGCTCTCTACTGACTGCAACACAAAATTGCAGCTGCATTATAGTACATTTAAATGCTGGTTGTTTTTTCTCTGTTAACTTTAACATACAAATTAAACGAAAACACAAATTCATTCTTGGAGAAAAAATACTGAAATAGGACTTCAATGTTTCTCTTTGGCACATCTATCTTCAAAGCCTCTTCATTTCCTCCATTTGAGTCTAAGGAGGATATGTCATCAATATATCTCAACTTCCTGCTAAGTAAAGTTACAACCACTCTTTTTAGAAATCCCATCATTTCAGTCTCATGCATCTAATAATGTAGGTAGAGAATGTATTTCTAAAAAGTTCTTCTGAATATCGATACGAGATGCAGAGATATATCCGGACTGATGGTGTTGTGATGCGTCTCACCTTGCGGGAGGTGTAGTGGGGGTGCTGGGCCAGCTTGGTGTCCATGCTCTCCAGGCAGACCGTGTCGGTGACTTTACCAACAGTGAGGCACGCTTCGTCCAGAATGGAGATGATGCCTTTGTGGGGCTGCTCCACCAGATCCACAATGATCTGGTTGTTGAAGTAATCAATCTGTGAATGAGCAGTAGGATTGTTAAGCAAGAGGGAAATTATTCATGAAGTTTATGAATAATCTAGTTTTGGTCAAGTGATTGCTGGCTCACTTAGGCTGTAAGTGCTGTAAAGGCACGGACACACCAGGCCGATTATCGGCGTCGGTGGGCGTCAGGCCGACGATGAGCGTCGACACGCCCTACTCAAGCCCCGGCCACACGAGGACGATAACGGTAACGGACCGCAATCGTTATCAAAAAAGTCTTCCGTCCACACGCAACAGGCACCAGAAACGTTTCCGTCCACACGAGACCGCTCGAAACGCTGTAGTACATATGCCAGGCCTGTAAGTGGCGCTGTACTTCAGCACGAGACCGCTCGAAAGCGCTGAAGACGCTGTAGTACATATGCCAGGCCTGTAAGTGGCGCTGTAGTTCGGCCACAAAATACGCCGAAAGCAGCGAAGAAGACTTCTCGCACATGCATGGTTGCCATGGTTGCCCTTCTGTTTATTCTCCGCGCTGGATTTAGCAGCAGAGGTGGGGTTTTGCCGGTCAACATGTCCGTTAAAGTTTAAATCTTCCGGACAAAATTAGAAAAGTGCCGGTCAAAGGTCTTCTTTGTTATTTATTGAGCTTTAAAACAAATGAATAACGACTCTATATAATAATAAAAAAACGGAGCCTCTCTTTTCCTCCCCCTCTTCTGACAGCCCAGCAGCTGATCTCTGAGCAGGAGAGGTGGGGAGAGGCGGGGCTATTGCGTCATTGTTATCAGGACATGATCGTATAGGCGTAAACACGGAGCCGTTTGCCCCCCCAGAGCGTTTCGTTTTCAGATCTACCCACCTTGGGACCCGTTATCGTTATCTTCGTTAGGCCTCATGTGGCCGAACCGTCTTTCTGATACAGAACTGTAGCAGATACGACCGTTATCGTCCTCGTGTGGCCGGGGCTTCAGATTGGTGTGTCCCGCACCGTCCGGTCTTTTCAGCCGGGCCGACGCCTTTTCGGCCGAAATCACTCTGATTGGCTGTTCAGCTAGCGAATCAGTGGATGAGAAGCGAAAACGGGAGTGAGGGACCAAAACAAACTATTAAAGGTAGGGTAGGTAAGTTTGAGAAACCGGCTCGAGATCGCTAGATTTTGAAAATACACAACCGGAGAAAATCTGCCACTTCCTTACAGAGCCCCTCCTCCAACACACACGAACGCGCACATGACCAATGAGGGCACGAGATAAGTTTGTGCACAGATGGAAGGCTGACAGGCAGGTAGGCCATCCAGTTATTTTAGCCGGGCCGGCTAAAATGATTGGTCGTGCTTTTTACAGTATTACGGCTTCCACAGATTACATTTTTTTATGGATTTTTTGTCAAAGCACTTAAGATATTCATTGCTATCGGGATGTTAAGAGCATTCCATGGAATATAACAAAAAGTGTATCTCGAGCCGGTTTCTCAAACTTACCTACTTTAAGAAGGCAAATCTGAGATTTAATTTAACTCCAGCTCTCGACACAGGTTCAGGAAAGCCCCATGAGCTTCTCGTTGTAGAGTGAACATGGAACGCACACGCTATTTGTTGTTTGTTTATATCACGCAGTCTGTTCTTCGTCTCTCGGTTATCACGCAGTCTGTCTTCCGGTTGTTGCCTCTTTTGAATGACGAATACACACTACCGCCGCCTGCTGGTAAGCAGAGTTATTGCCACTCACGCATGCGCAGTTCGTACATGCTTCTTGGCCATCGGCTGAAGTCTTTGCGGTGTGTTCCAGTGCGACACATGGCCAAAACGCAGAGACGCGAGGCGACGCAACAGTCGGGGTCCGTCTGTGTCAGTTCTTTGTTGTCAGATTGGTGTGTCCGAGCCATAAGGTGAAGTGTAAGGGTGTGTGTGTGTGTGTGTGTGTGTGTGTGTGTGTGTGTGTGTGTGTGTGTGTGTGTGTGTGTGTGTGTGTGTGTGTGTGTGTGTGTGTGTGTGTGTGTGTGTGTGTGTGTGTGTGTGTGTGTTTCTCACATGTTGCCAGGTGATGCCCTCTCTCTGGTATTCTCCCTGCTCCTGTCTGAGGATCAGCTCGATGAAGAGCTGCTGCAGCTTCTCGTTGCAGTAGTTGATGCAGAACTGTTCAAAACTGTCCAGCAACAGAGGAACAGAAACATGAGCAACAGCATCAACAACAACTCTACAAACACTCCTGACATTACAACACTAATCGCCAAAGCCATATCAAATATGTGTTTTTCTACTTATTTTGAGAAATGTGTCACTTTTCTAGCATCCAGATATCCTTTTTATCTCAACAGCCCCTTTTTTCTTGTTTCAATAAATCACATTAAGTGTATTCATCTGAGTGCACTGGTAGAATACTGCACTTGTTTTTCAAATCTGTGCTTGTTGGTTGTCTTTTTTCAGTATACCCCTTCTTTCATATTACAGGAATACTTCAGCCCCGGACAATATTGCATGTTTATCAATCCTACAATTTCTTACCATTCGTTCACCGTGAAGGCATGCGACAAAAAAAAAAAAAGTTTTAAAGAGTTCAAGATCAAAACTATCAAACTCATTTTGGGGGGTGAAGTATTCCTTTAAGAAGATTCAGTAGATTTCACAAGACAACACCAACCTGTTGTTGTCAAAGATCTCAAAGCCGTAGATATCCAGCACGCCAATGACTGTGTTTTTCCCATGAAGCACTGGGTTGTAGTCTTTTACTTCAATGACGCTGTTGATACGGTTTACAATCCAGCCGAAGAGTCTCTCATATAAAGCCTAGAGCGGGGAAATAAGAGAGGGTTTAACAGAGCCGGAGATTTAAATAATTTGACAACTTTGAAAATTAAATAAAAGGAAAGCTTGACACAGTGATGATGTTAATATACATTTTCCTGTCCCGGAGAAGCTGTAAAACATTTAATCTGTGTAGTGTGGTACAGAAATGTGCATAATGAGTCAACATTTTTGCAATTCTCCTTCATCTTAAAGTCAATGGCTTAAAAACGGCGGTTGCTAACAAGTGGCTAAACAAGACAACTAAAAGTCATCACAGGGAACATTAACCACTATTAGCTTAGCGATGGTGACATGAAGTGATGCAAAAAAGGCATCATATACGCACCTTGGCGAAAGCGCTACATCCGAAGCAGGCGTCCTGCTCCGTGTGTCCCTTCTCGATGACCTCGCCCCCTCCGGTGGCCACGGTGCGGAACAGCAGGCTTTTACAGACGCTGTCCACGTCTGAGGCTATCAGCTCAGAGATGTGGTTTACAGCTTCCAGTCCCACGATCTGAACGCTCTCTCCATCGCTCTCAAACTGCACATTACCCTGAACAACACACCATTACAGCTCATGATAGATCCAGAATCTTATCACTGTTGGATACTGATCTCATGGTAGCAACAACTAAGACATATACATTGGTGAAGAAAATGATTTCTGTATTTTACCTAGGATATCTGCATTAACTTTCATTGATTTTATCAATCCATGTTAAAACTTACCAATAAGAGTATGGCAGCCAGGACCTGATAAATGGAAGTAATCTCCTCTTGTGAGAAGCCAATCACTTCCAGAGCACTCATCACTGCTTTGTGGCTCGAGCGGTCATTGTTGGTGGTCTGTAGAAGGAAAATATAGGTTTATTATACAGTCAATAGAACTTCAGCTGAAGTTCAAAAGGGACAATCTGGGTTTTGGCTATTTGCGCCACAGAGAGTACAATAATGTATTTATTCTTAAAATGTGTGTGAGTTAACTGAGTTTGTTTAATATGAACTTAACTGCTGTTCTTCAAATGTTTTGCCAGTTGGGCCACTAAATGGTTTAATATAGCACACAACGTCAAAGGCAGTAACGTCACAGCAACACACAACATGGGTTAATTTTATTTTGATAACTTATGCTTCGTCTTCCCTCCTGGGGAATTCTTGCCTCCGCCATCCTGAAGGATCTTCAAATCCCTTAAATGCAACTCAGAGAGCTAAGGAGCAAGGAGGCTTTTGGAGGAGCGGAAGTAAAGTTTATGACAAGTGGCCTGACATTCTAATAGAATCAAGGATTTCTCATTCGGCAGCTAAGACTGGGTTAAAGGACAGCAGGTTGATAAGTTAGCACAATAAAAAGAAACCCATGTCATCGATGTGGGAGTTTACATAAGTGAAGAAGAAATAAAACTTGCAATTTATGACACCTGCAAGCCAAAAATAAGCTGTACAGTAACCTTAACAAATAATGTGTGGCAACAAGAAGCTAGGTGCTGTTTTGGAGGGAAACAAATTAAATGTTTTACAATTAAATTTCAGTTTTCCATGAAATAAATTGTATTTAATTGTAATTAAAGTCCTGAGAAATAAATAATATTTGCCAGGATAATAGTATTCAGAATCAGAATATTTGATTGTCCTTTAAATTGACATATAATGGAAATGTGTCTTTGGCATTGGCAAATAAGACAAAATAGCACTCACCACACACAGTCCAACATACAATTCATACACACAGAAAGAGGGACATTGCATCATAAAGTGACTAAGTGGCAGTCTTAATAAACATGCAGAGTGGTTTGTTCTTCCACTGGCTTGGGACCATTACAATATCAGTTGTATTAAAAAATTAATAATTGACTTTACATTAAAAGGAAGTGCTGGTGTATGGTGCATCTCTAATGTGAAGGTGATAAACTCACGGCAGTAGCAGCTCCCTCTTTGGTATACGTATAAAGAGCTGGATCGTTCTGTAGATGAAATGACCCCAGCATCTCATCTGAGCCTCCGCGCAGTAACTGTCATGAAAACACATCAAAGTTCATATCCAATTCAATACATTAAATAATGCAATTCAGGTATTACTATGGAGTATCGTCAGTGCATGTTTGCAGCAGCAGCACAGATAAAGGTTACCTGGTAGAAGGAGTGGAAGTTCCTCTCCCCGTCTTGCTGCTGGACCACCCTGGACTTGAACAGGAGAACACATTATGGTGGTAAGGCAGACATCCATCCTCAGACATATTAACACTGATGGGCTCCAGGGGCCGCATTACAGAAGCTTCTTAACTTGCATCTCTTTTCCGTTATCATGGTAATAGGGGTAGGAAAGAAGAAGTTAAACATGAACAGTTCTAGTCAATGTTCCAACGGGAGATAGGAACTTTGAACCTTTTACCTTCCTCCTGTCATTTGTCAATGTACTTATTTTCTTTTTGATAGCATCACGGCTAGATGCCTGACACGGAGGAGACTGCAGCCCACTTTCTTTTTGTTTATTTCCTGTGTGAACATTGTCACTTTTTTCCCCAACAAAACATTTTGGGATTTCTCTACAGCAACACTTCTAACTCTAACTCCTATTGGATGTGCTAACTCTTCTCATTATAAATGCTTCTAATCTAATACATATTTAAGTATATATTTTTTTTTAAACTGCAAAGTTGTTTAGCTCGATGTAATGAGAAAAGTAGTGTGTGTTGCTAGGTAACAGACATACAAGTTGTTAAGCGAGGTTGAATTTCCTCACCAAAGATACGAAAAAATTAAGTAAATCAGACTTCTAGCATATCAGGAACAATCTTATATAAGACTCTTCTTACTGAAAGGATTCAGAGAGGAAGTTTCTTTAATATCTCCCAAATTATTGATTTTTTAAGTTAAGTGTTGTTTTTTGTATCTGCTTTGTCTGTCCTTGCTTTTATTTGTTCTCTAATGTGCTTTGATCTCCTCCTCTTTTGGATAAATAATACAAGTGAGCAGCATTTCTCAGAGAGGACAGCAATAACATGTCGGAATTTTTGACAGAAGAATAACAGAGCGTCTAAAGCAAGTTTTAAGTCTTATCTAAAAGAAACAATATATAAGTACGTCTCTGAAAGGGCAAGATGTCTTGTGGCCAATTGTCACTTTCATGTTTCACAGAGAGACTTTTCCCCGGATGGGTTGTCCACTGAATTTTGCTGACAAATTGTACATCTAAAAAGAAAGGTTTTTTGCTTTGATTTTAAGGGATTTGACCTAAAAAGTGTTTATTAAAACAATCTCAGAAACCATCACTTCCTTGTAGACACATGAAAGTCGATTTGAATTGAGAACATACGTGAAATCTTCTTCATTTATGTTTCAGCCATACATTTGGCATTTAAAAATATAATTAAAATGAATTAATGGTTGGACTACATTTTCTGGCCAAACAAGTATATTAGGTCTACAACTAAGTGAAATAGTGGGTAGTTCTTTAGTAATGGTGTTTTAGACAGGTGAAAATATATCCAATCTCCACTTTGAACGCCCTTAAAAAGTAACCATTTTTTCATAGAAATTGGACAAATCAACCAGGCAACAAAATCAAGTCCAGCTAATTTCCCAAGAGGGATTTAAGTATAATTATTTTTTCTTCAAGACAATCAAAACCAAACCGATTACAAGTCAACACAGTCTAACTATTGTCTTCTGCCAGTGTATATGCAGCGTGATCATTCCTGCCTTCTGAAAATTAATCATGACACCGTCATTTGCACCAGCTCTGAGTGCCAGACAGCAGCAGCACATCGGCTTCACAGATCTATTCATGGATGTTCCCTCACAGCTCTTTTCATCACCTCATAAAAGTTTCATGTGAAAAAATAAATGAGCAGAACTTTTCTTTACTTTCCTTCAGAAGTATTCTTATCAAAAGTACTCATAACTAGTTTTTTTGTGTTTATTTGGCTCGTGAAGGTCACCTGTCTTTACTCAGAGCCCCTCCATCATCCTGCCACCCCTACCCCTCACCTTCTCCAGCAGGTAGTTGTTGATGTTTCCTCCGGTGGGGTCTCCGTTGAAGTTGAAGTTGATGTCCATGTACTTGCCGAAGCGGCTGGAGTTGTCGTTGCGATTTGTCTTGGCGTTCCCAAAGGCCTCCAGCACACAGTTTGATTTGAGCAGCACATTCTTCACACTGATGCATCACATGGTGGTGGCCGATGACGGAGACATGTGAGAAATCAGAGAAGTGAAATTGAGTCAGAAAAAAACAAACAATTGATGGTAATGTGATATACTCATGATTCAATTATTTATGTGTGTTGCATCTGGATCTCAATTCCATTTTACTGCACTACCTTAATGAGTCCTCCCCTCATAGATAAAGGTTCTGTCACGTCTCCACTCACCTCTCAACCTCCACCCTCTGGTTTGGGTTTGTGATGGCTGCGATGTACTGCATGATGTATTTACTCGCTTCTGTTTTTCCTGCCCCACTTTCACCTGAAACAAGCACACATTAAACAAGACTGTTGAACAGATCTGTTCTATAGCTGCATAATATAATACAATTTAAGCAATGTCTATTCACTTCACACACTTTGTATTGATTGTATGACGAAGTGAAGGTCTTATGTGAACTGTGATTACCTGAACCATATTAACATATGACATATTCCCGAGGTTTTTTTGCTTAAAGGAGAGGTGTCATGGCCATTTCCATTTTTCCAAACTCACATTGGTTTCTCATACAGCATCTCTGTAAACTACTTGTATTCACTGAATTTCACTCTCTTTCATTTTCTCTCCAGCCCCCACCCTCCCTGTGAGCACAGTGTGCTCTGATGGGTCGGGACGTTGTGAATCACGCTGAGCTCCGTGGAGGTGTTGTTGTTTCCTTGTTTAGGATACATAGCGAAACACAGCCAAACTCATCCTGAGCACACACAAAGTCACATCCGAAGTAAAAACAATAAGTGTGGCTTGATATTGAGTAAGAAAAAGGTTGATAAACGCTGTGAGAATGGGTCTGCAGAGAGAATTTCGCCGCGATCCCAACTGTCTGTTATCAGCCTGCAGCCAGGGAGGAGGAATCAGCTGAGCTGCCTGCTCCCTGCACACAGATGTGTGTGTGAGGAAGTCCGTGGATTGGTCAATTTGGACCAATCAGCGGGGGCTTAACGTAACGGCTCCCCGGACGTAACGTAACGGCTCCACGGATTGGTCTATTTCGTTCCGGGTACGGCTTGACATCATGCCGTCCCGGAAGAATCAAATCGTTTTGGGGAGGTATTTTCTGTGTTAGAGTTTTACTCGCTACAGGGTGTACTTTGAGGGTTTGTGACTCTGCACACCGTTTACATGCATAAAAACCTTCATAACACACAAGGGGACGGGTAATAACCGGAAAAGCATGACACCTCTCCTTTAACAATGCAAAATGAATAAGGATGCGTTTTTGCACCTTGATGCACATTTATTTTGGTGTATAATTATAGTACATAACAAGTAATGGTGAACATTTACAAGCAGCATCAACACTATCTATAGTCAGAATTGTGCTTTGACGAAGATTAAGAACATGTTGATGTTGCTATGTAAACCATTTAAATTATTAGTATTTTCTTATTATTTCTGGCATGGTGTAATAGTATTTGGGGCACAATTGAAAAAAAAACTCGAACAAACAAAAAGGTTTTAGCGTTAAATGTTGTATCCTCAATATTAACGATAAGGAGCCAGAGAAATATTAGCCCTAAACCATTTTACGTTAGCAGTAGTGTGTGACTCTGACAGGTGCGGTCCAATATTGAGCTAGTTTAATACGATTACTGTACCAATACTTTTACAATTAACCTTATTTAAGAGTCTAAAAGGCCCAGGATCTACGAATGCCCCAAGGGCTAAATAGATAGCTAAGAAATATCATGCTAATATCCAGGGCCGGTCTTTGGCATAGGCGGTCGCCATAGGGCGCCAGATCTGGGGGGGCGCTGCGCTGGTAGTTCTGGGAGGGAAAAAAATATTTTTGACTGTTTGGCTCATCTTAATTTTCAGCCTTGATGTAACAACATTCATAATTAAGTAAATGTAACACCCTTTTCACCCGGGTTACACTTTTCATTTGCCCTGTACGATGGGCGCTGTAAGTGATGAAAGTGGGGGATGTTGACTTATCAGGCGCCCGCAGCTCACAGCCAAAGTGTGAGCGAGCCTCCGAGCGAGCAAGAGAGAGAGAGGGCGCGCATCGGTACCGCGGATTGTTGTTGGATTGAGGCTGATAACTACAGCTCAGTGAGGTAAAGGACTCTTGAGTGTTTAGATAGTTCACTTTAGTCTAAGTTATCTCAGTGGGTCTCAAACGGTTTGGTCACAATTTATGTAAACAAATATTTCCAAGGCACACCTTTATAATTATTAGGATAAATAAAAACAGGTTTGAAATCATTCCATATACTATAGGGCAGTAACCAAAAATATAGTTTAAAACTGGAGAGATTAAAACAAATGCATGAATAAATAAATGTTAACTAGGTAAAATAAGATATAAATGAACAACAAAAACTAAAATACGTTGCATGTATTTGTTATTGGCTATGGTAGGTTATTGGTTATGTTCACATACTTATTTGATTATTAAAATGTAAACCAATCTTTTTCATATGGGTGTTTTAGAGTTGTACCCCCTAGATCTAGTCTCTTGTCATTCTGCTCAAAGTGCACCAGATTGAAGCATTTTACTTTAAAATGTTAAAACAAATCTTTCCGGGGGGGGGGGGGGGGCATACCCCCGGACCCCCTAGAGGATGTGACGTCCACCCCCCAATTCAAACATTTGAAACCTTCTTTATGTATACTGTATAACCAACATGTCAATACGTTTCAGTTTTTGTAGTGTAGGCCTATTGGTCTTTTGTAGAAATTTTTCATTTATTCTTTATATTGTGTATTGTATTTATATTGTGTATTGCTTGGAGGGGGGGGGCACCAAATCATAATCTCGCCTAGGGCACCAAAATGTCTAGGACCGGCCCTGCTAATATCTCCATCACATATTCGATAATTAGTTGGCTAACATGGCTGCTGTGGATATCAAAAACGTTACCTTACAGTCACACTGGCATCGTAGTTTTAAGTCCTACACTGAAATATGTCAACAACTAAAAAAGCTAACTTGTTTTGTAATGTTACAATATTTCACGCTTACCAAATCATGATGACACGGAATAACTTTGGCCCACACTCCCAACTTTTCTTCTAAGCTAGCACCTGTCCCTTCTACAAGATGTCAACCTCAGCTAATGCTAACTATGTGAGTAGCCTAATGCTTACAAAACATAACCCAACATTCTCTTGTTTTTCTTTTTGTATTAACTTATAAGAATTTAACCAGATATGCAATTTCAATGTTTTTCAAAATAAAATAAAAATAATAATTAATTAATTATGATATTATAAACACTAAAATACATACATACAGCAAAAACATTGATAAAATGTATGTTTTTTTAAGATTATCATACAAATAATTTATTTAAGTTTAAAGTAAGATTTCATAATTTAGCAAGCCTTAGATCCTCAGATATGGGGATTTGGAGGTTTGAGTAATATTTTAAGCAACAGCTTAAAAAAGATGTAAATGTGTGTAATGATTTGTGTAATATCTTTGAGTTTTTGACAGACAAAACAAGACATTTCAAGATATTTTTCAATATATTCTGATACTTTAAAGGTGAAACCGTTTTGACTAGCCGAGAAAATGTATTGCCAATTGGCTAACCAAGTCTGACGATGTATAACAGAATCCAGCAAGCTGAGATACATAAGCCACAGAGAATGAACTTCTGATTTAGCAACATAGCTTTTCATCTGGCTCCACACACAGGCCAAACCTTGCTATTAACGCAGGGCCTTTCCATTTTTCATTCACATGGCAGTTTTATTTTTTACTTCTAATCAGCAAGGGATATGTGAAGAAGTAAAACATATCAGTGTTATGTGCTGGTAAATAATGCATCTGATATAAACATAATGCCACATGGACTCATTGCACAGACAAGAAAATTAAGACTTTGTTGGCTGGGTTGCAAATGTAAAGTGTGTGAACTTGAAGTATTGAACATGATCTCATAGACAGCAGAGTTCACACTTTGTAGGCTTGTGGCTTAATGTGAAGCTTCAGAGTGTGAAAGAGACAGACCTGAAATGACGATGCAGGTGTCTTTGGCCCGTCTCTTCATGGCCTTGTAGGCAGCATCAGACACTGCGTACAGGTGAGGAGGGTTTTCATACAGCTCCCGGCCCCGGTACGCATCGATGGTGTCTTTGCCGTAAATGTCCATCTGTCTGTACGGGTTAACGGACACGACTACTTCTCCAATGTAGGTGTAGATGCGGCCCTTCTCAAACCTGTTCCACAAAAGAAAACACAAAATTATCAATAGCAGACTTCACACTACTTGTACAGGTATTATATTATATTTCTTGCTTAGTTCATGTCAGGTAATTTAAATCTTTATAACTCAAATACACAAAACAATAATAATCATAAAAGAAAATGAGTGTCAAACTAAAGCAAGGTTAAATAACCAAATCAAAAGATGGATATAAATGTATCCTAAAATCCAAAACCATCATATTTTTATATACATATTTTAAAAGTGTTTTAAAGATTTTTATTTCCTTTTTTAAAAACGCATCAAATATAAATATATACAATGAAATAGATATACTAGACACATAAACAATAGAATTGTGTGTAAATGTATCATCTATGCATATGTAGGATACGTTTTCAGCCATTTAGACCCATTACATTTTCAGACAACCCATGAGAAACCCTCGAGTCGAAAGTTCCATGATATATGGTACACCTTCGTGTCATACGTAACATCCTGACAGGAAGTGACCCAAGTGTGTGTTCACTGAGAGCAGGAAATGAAACTTGTGGGCTTAAGGGCGTCACAGCCTTGAGTAACCTCGTGGTGAGCTGCAAGAGGTAAAATTGACGTGTCACTAGGTTCAATGTAGAAACTTTTTTTGTAGATGTTTCTAAAACCAGATTAGCGGTACTCTGATGTTAACATTTGTACATTTAGATCAAAACTGGGTAATGTCAGAATGGATAATGTCAGAACAAGGCAGACATATTGCCTTCTTATTCTGAATTTTGGAAGAAACTACCAGTGTGCTAGTCATCTGTTTACTGGATCATTCATGTGGTTTCTGTTTCTCAGAATAAAAAATGAGGAAACATAATTTGACCAAAATCACTAATCCAAAAGAATTCTATCAGCAATAAAGAATGGCATAAACTAAATGTAATTGCATATTAAAGGTCAAACAGAAAAGTTATTAATAAGTACATTTCCTGACTCTACTCAAGTACACTTTTCAGCTGCTTTTAACTATTATTATTATTATTATTATAGTAGTCAATTTGTGCATCTTATTACATTTAATGCCCCACATTTCGAGAAACATTACACAGATTTCTCTTCTTTTTTTTTTGTATGTACAAAATGTAGCAGTATCAGTTTTCCCTTGTCAGGTTAACTATAGTTGGCCATTTACAGTTTGGTTACGAGCCTCATTTATAATAATAGCTTAATTTTTCATATTTGAGCTGATATAATCTGAAAGCACAGTTAGTTGTGTTCTTAGAGAAGCTAGACTGTATCATTTGGAAAGCAAAAGCTGTTGTTCCTGGAAAATCCCATCCATTGCACACTGTTGAAGTTCAAACACTAAAATAGATAAAAATATCATTCTAATTTTCTAATCAGTTCTAAGGACTTTTGCCATAATTAGGCTCTACTGAAGCATCACCACCAAGGCCTCTCTGTTCACCAACCTTCATGGAAATCTCTTTTTAGAAATAACCTGCTGACAGAAGACCAGTGCTGATAACTAACCTAATAAAGTGGTGCAGGAATGAGTCCTAAACATGGAAATGAGTTAGCATTTTGGCATTTCCAGGCTCCCTCGTCCCAAATTCAATACTTTCATATTTGGCTAATGTTTGGCGTGATGTTGTTTAGTAGTCCTATTAAGAAAACGGCTACAAAACAAAATGTGAAAATCTTGTAAACTTGTGTTTACCATAGACCTTATTTTGGTTAGATTCCCCAAAATAAGGTCAACACAAGTTTACAAGATTTTCACATTTTTTTGTAGCCGAACAAACATTAGCCACCATTATCTTGCATTGTTTTTTGACCAGGGAACCCTTGCGATACTAGCTTCTGGGTTGGCCCTAAAACATGTTTGCAAGTAAAGGAAAACAGTGCAAATGCCAAAACAGAAATCCAAACACCTGATCTCAGATGTATGAAAAAGTAGAGCAGTTCATTCAATTAGGCACACATCAGCACAAACCTAAGCACCTGCCTCTGTTATCTAACAAGTCTGATCAAGCTGCGTGTGATGGAACTCTACAAACATTATGTGCCAACCAAACATGGAACACACACCAAGCCTCAGTCACAACATGTAACATGTTAAGTTAGAGAGTAAAGAGTTTTTCTAAATCTAGAGCATGTTTGATCTTGTTTGACATTTTGGTGGCTGTCTGCCTGTGCTAATTTCAGATGACATTTGTGAACTTTCACAGTTTGAACTGAGGACATCAAGCCAACGATGCGAAAGACACAGAGGAAGCGAGAATGCACACTGTCTGGAACAGTGTAAAATCCTCAAAGATTCACACCAAGAAAGAGTCACGAAATAAAATCAAAGTTACATTAACTTCAATAAGTTTGCTTACACTAGCTGTTTTATTTAGTTGGTAATGTTCCATTACTGCCATGTGCTTTATGTGTTTCTGATGACAGCCACTGTGGTGATGATCACATCCACTACAAGTTCATATCTGAACCCTGGGTGAGCGGGAAATGTAGAAATTACTCATAATTGTCTTTTTTACCCTTATATGTCCTCTTTATGTCCTCTTGTAAAAAGAACATTCATAATGATAACGTCAACCTGTTAATTAACTGCTTCTGTGACATATTTCGTAAGTTTAAGAGATCAGAGACTTAACAAAATACACCTAAATCTATATTTCTTTACACATATTTGATCAGAAATACCAAAGAAACAAGCCGTTTTCCTTGTGAGGAATGAATGAAGCGTTACCCTTTGCATCTCTGACAACCAGCTGCTTCCCCTCCCTTCCTCCTGTCTAACACTATATCTTACCTCAGCTTCAGATTCTCCATAAACTGCTCCATGGTGACCTCATCCAGCAGCACAAAGTCTGACTTCCCAAACTCCAGGCCCTCCAGCTCCGCCATCCCTGTCCTCGTTCAACAAACACACTTAGAAAACAAAAAGACGTACAGGACTGAGAGGAACAGAAAGCCGCTTCAAGAAGAAGAAAGAGAAGTATGGGTGCCTTCTTGGGCCGGTAGTGTGGAGTGTGTGTATGTGTGTGTGTGTGCTGAGGGCGTGGTGAGCTCGATGGTAGATTTGAGGGTGTGCTTATTTGAGAGCTGTGGTCTACAAGCTACAGCACGTCACCCGTCAGTCAACCCTCGCCTCACTCACATCTGTATAAATAACAGGAGGCTATCTTTAAGAACTCACACCACTTCTGCATCCTCCTCATCTATGTCTCTCTTCCTGCCACAAAACATTTCTAAACTCTAAAGCAAGGCATCACTGTCTTTTTCGTGTAACTTCTCTTGCCAGAACCCACATCGGTCACGCTGCCAAACAAGTGCAGTTAACTTGGCAAATTTGGGGTTAGAAAATGGCCTTTATCTCCTGGGAAGGATCGTGGCATTTCCTTTTTTAACTTTGCATTGGCAGTGCAACGTGTCCCAGGGATTTCCCTCAAATAAGAGGTTCCCAACTCCATGCACACTGAAAAGACTGAAACATTGACTTTAAATAGATGTATTATGTGTCAACAAATGTAACATGACTGTATTAGGTATTACGTTTTATGTAAACTTAAATCATTTTGCTTACAACTAACCTAATACAGTTATGTGAAATCTGTTGACATAATACATTTAATTAAAGTCAACATTTCAGTTTTTTCAGTGCATTTGGAAAATCCGTTTTTTGAGTGCTGGAGCCAAAAGGTCTTGTAAATGTAGATCTAAGTGTGTGTGATATAGTACAGAGAGTGTACGGCAGGGCTATTCAATTAGTTTGGAATGGGGGCCGGTTGATGAAAAGGATCCAAAGCAAGGGGCCGGGAAAAAGATGGCTTGAAATATGAGCAATCATATTTAAGAGCTTCAGATACAGTAAATACTACAACAGCATAGTGGAGTGCATATATTGTGTTTAATTCAATCAAACAACATAGCCCCAAGGCCTTTATAGATCTAAATGGCAAGTTCAGAACTCAGTAGGCCTACATGTTTCATTTGATTTCATTTAGGTGAAATGATCTAATCATTCACGCAGAGATGCAATCAATGACAGGAGTTGTCACTACAGTATAGTAGGTGGGTTCGAAACCCGAGCCCGTCGAAGTTTTCAGGCATTGTCTACCCCTCTATCTCTCAATGTAACACCCTCTCTGGAATAAAGGCACTATGGCACAAAAAAAAAAAATCTTAAAAAAAAAAGATTGATTACTTTTTAACATTATATTCAAAGGGCCAGTAAATATCACCCCGGGGCCGGATTTGGCCCGCGGGCCGCCAATTGAATAGCCCTGGTGTACGGGAATGCTGAGTAATACAGAGAGTTGATATCTAAAATTATATTTCACAACCTTTTCCTTTAAATCAAGAACACTTTCAAGAACTTTTCAAGGTATACTGGATCTTTATTTCCATGTAAGGAACACTGTTCATGTGTTGGCCCTATTGCACTGTCCCGAATCGCAGGGCACACTTGCAATTTTGCTGCCCAGCTGGAAAATTGCCAAGTGCATGAGGGCTCTCTTGCAGTTCAGAGGCCAGCAATTAAAAGCAAAAGGTAAACAAGGACATGGGTGTTCAGCCTTAAATATATATTAGGTTCACTGGTACTCACACACTTTAAAATAAACATAGCATTAACAAGGATTTAAAGGGACTGCACCTCTCTGCTTACCCCTCAATTTACAAGACATGAGCACAAGAGGCTGAGTGAAAAACAGTGGTGACGCCATGTTGTCTTCCAGGACCTTCGCCTAGCTCAGAGGCCATCCTTAGCATAATGTGCAGTTATTCAAGTGTGTTGCTTTGGATAAACTGCTCAACTAAATGTAATGTAAACATACAGTTGCCTTCAGGTAAAGAAAAAAAGGCCTTCTCTAAAGCCAGATTGTTCCCACTCTAAGCTACTGTAGAATCAAGACGTTAGACCATAATAAAAACACAACCTACTTCGTCTCAGGTGATTATACACTCATAAAAACATAGTTACATTTCATTTCTGCCAATAGTTCCAGAACAAATTGGTCCTTTATGTGGCATTTTCTATCATGTCCTCCTTTTTGGACTAATTATGATCTCAATTGCCTATCTTTCTTGGTTGCTAAGGTGATGAAAACAAATGCTAAAAACGTTTTTTCTGTTACAACCATCAAGCTCATTTATTTCCTGGGACCACATGCTCTAGAAACCATGTTTTCTCGGCATCAGTAAGAGGTGTTCAGTATATAAAGGGAATGTTAGAACTAAACTGAAAAACATTATTCAAATCAGTAAACTGATTTATGATTTCCCCTGTAATCCTTATACCTATCAGCATTGTGTTAAGGTCAATTTCACTTTGTGTCCCTTCTCGTCAGCTGCTGGCCGTTCTTGAACACAACATGTTTCCGCAGTGTGTTTGTTTCCAAACACAGGATGACTCAGCTTGTGACTCAGAAGGGTTTTGACATCATTAGCCACACTTGTTATGACTATTGTGTCTGTTTGTGAGGGCTAAGGATGAGCAGCTACTTGGTATAACCTTTTCTTTTTTTAAAGTTACGAGACGGAACTGTCAGAATCTCTCACTGTTAGATGATCACCCTTCATGTTTATGGCGTTCCTTTCAGTTTAAATATCAAGGCTTGGTTTGTCTAAAAACTGTAAGAAAAAAAAAGATATCTTCTTAATTATTAATGAATTACTTCTTATTGTATTAAGCCATTTTGAATTTTCTTTGTGCAGGTTTTGCTTCCATTAAAATCAGGAAAAGTTAACTGAATATCATTTGTGGCACTCAAAGGAACACAGAATAAATAATAATTGTACACCAACACTTTCAACTGGATTACTTGTCCCTATGAAAGCAGTCGGCAGCATGAACCACTATCTGGAAATGAAATGGTTTCGTCCTTTTTTTGGGGAGCTTCCACTAAAGGTACATATTTGTATCATGTATTATAGAGTGGCGAAGTCCCTCCCCTTCCGGTGGACCTCCATGGGACCTTATTTTGGAAAAATTATGTATTGAAGTCAATGGAGAGAGAAAGATTATCTTTCGATCCCGTTTGAATTGTGCCACGAATTACACATATGATGTTTGTCAATTTAAAAGATAATTTTGCAAGTCAAAAAAAAAAAAAATGTGTCGTAAAACTGTGAAGTAACACATTTGTTTGTGTGAAACGCTCAATGAACTACATCTCTGGTCAACAACACACGTCACCAAGATGGCCGTCACTACTGTCTTGTCAACAAAACGATTGACTACCCTCACTATCACCACAATGAAACACGTCCTGAAGAATGTCATGCAAAGCCTGCCTTCCTTTGATTCTCTCTGAACTGCCTGGTCGTTTTAATGTTAAATGTCAACCATTTGTGCAGATAGCATGAAGTAGAAAAGATCGTCAATGCTAGCGTTAGCGTTAGCATTTCTCCCCCGGGCTTAAATTGTGTATTATAGAATGATCACACCGGTGACAGTACTCTTCAAAGGGTTCACGAAATATGACTACTACTCTTACTGTTTAACATTTTGGGTTACTTAATGTTACTTCATGTTAAGGCTAATAAAAATGACAAGGCTGTAATGCTAACTAACGTGCTAGCTACTAGCTAGCTTGATCCAGACACTGCTGGTCCTTTCATCAGACGGGAAGCGAAAGAACGAGCAAGACCCATTGCTGGTATAATAACAACCTGGTACTAAGCACACAGGCATCTTGTTAAAGTTATCTTATCTTAGCCAGCGCCATATAGATAGATTAAATCTATATGGCGCTGATTTTAGCTATCTCTTAGTGGAGGAAAACAATTGTGACATCACTTACTCTGGGATTTGTAGTCTTTCTAGTTACGTATTTTTCATAGTCTTACATTTCAACAGTTTTACGACAAACTGACTTTTTTGACATGGAAATGATTTTTTAAGATTGACAAACATCATATGTGTAATTCATGGCACAATTCAAACGGGATCGAAAGATAAGTTTTCTCTCTCCATTGACTTCAATACATTATTTTTCCGAAATAAGGTCCCATGGAGCGGAAGTAGATGGGCGTGACTTCGCCACTCTATATCACAACAGAGCCGGCCAGCTAACCAATCAGAGCAGACTGGGCTCTGGTTTCAGACAGAGGGTGAAAAGAGGTGCTGCAGCACAGGCAGTATGAGAACAATTTGCTTTTTGAACATTAGAGCATGGAGACATGTCACAGTAGAGACACTAAATACTGATATGTACCTGAAAATTAGCAAAATGGGGCCCCTTGAAGGTTTGTATTGCTGGGCAATCCCAATGTACAGGCCACTCTCCAGATTTGACCAGGGCTTACAGCAGACACAGTTGAAAACTCTGTAGACTTTGAGTTTATATAAAGCTACTAAAATTGTACTTCGATGCTAGTAGACAAAAAGTACTAATTGAGCTAGAACGTAAAAAGATCTATCTCCATGACTGTTAAACAAACACAATCCAATAAGGACATCCATGAATCAATCCATCCACAATTTCAAGTCAAGACTGAACTTTGATGCTAAATATTTTGAGTCATTTTGTAAACTAAACCTTTAATTGTTAGGCAAACCCTCCAAATAGGAAGTCCTGGTTTCGCGCTGTCATGAGGGAAAGCAGTACTGTACTTTCGGATACCATGGCAACAGACAAATGCTAACAGGGGAATTTCAGAGGGCCGTTTTTGTATCAGTCTGATCTGTGTTTTGTTATTACTCACAATTGTTGTCACGGGTGCAGACCTGTTTTAATGGACTCTTTAATGCATAACAGCATTCAGTAGAAAATATGACCAGACCAGTAAAGGGTCCTAGAGACCATCAAACTGAAACATTCAGACATAAACACAAGTCAGAATCATTTTAAATACCTACCTACCGTAGAGCATCTGATATCTTGAAAGCCTGTTATTTTTTGTTAACTCTAAAGTGAGTTTAACATCGTTTAAAGGGTACAATATCCCGTCAAACCTCCAGTTACCCTTCCTCTAAACACTCATGCATGTTACATCCTCATCAGCCAGAGGAACTTCCTCTCTCAGTGTGAGTTCAGTCCAGAGTCTGACACTGTTTCACTTCCTCTCACGTCTGTTTCTGTCTCCATCTAGAAGATAGATGGTTTTACGTTTTTCCATTAATTAGCACTTCTTTATTAAATATTATGAATATGTCTTTATTATCAGGCTATGTTCCACAATCATTCAAAGTAGCAGTGATAAAACCTCTTCTTAAAAAGCACAACCTCGATCCAGAGGTTCTAGACAATTATAGACCTATTTCTAATCTTCCGTTCCTCTCAAAAGTTCTTGAGAAAGCAGTCGCAAAACAGTTGTGTGATTACTTTCACTGATACACTTTCAGTCTGGCTTTAGAACACATCATAGCACAGAGACAGCTCTGGTTAAAGTCACAAATGACCTTCTAATAGCTTCAGACAAAGGACTTGTCTCTATTCTTGTTTTGCTCGATCTCAGTGCTGCATTTGATACTATCGACCATGACATCTTATTGCAAAGACTAGAGCACTTAGTTGGCATACAGGGAACTGCTTTAGGCTGGTTTAGGTCCTATCTATCTGAACGCTCTCAGTTTGTATGTGTCAACGATGAATCTTCCATGCAGACCAAAGTTAGCCATGGAGTGCCACAGGGCTCAGTGCTTGAACCTATTGTTCACATTATATATGCTTCCGTTAGGCAATATTATAAGGAATCACTCTGTACATTTCCACTGTTATGCGGATGATACTCTCAACTATATTTATCCATCAAGCCTGATGAAACCAATCATCTAAATAAAATTCAAGACTGCCTCAAGGACTTAAAAACGTGGATGACCTTAAACCTTTTGATGTTAAACACGGCTAAAACTGAAGTTATTGTACTCGGCCCAAAGAATCTACGAAACAAATTATCTAAAGATATACTAACTATGGATGGCATTAATTTGGCCTCCAGTGAGACTGTAAGGAACCTTGGTGTTATATTTGATCTTTTATCGCCCACATAAAATCAATCTCAAGGACCGCCTTCTTTCATCTACGCAACATTGCAAAAATCAGGCATATCTTGCCTCAAAACGATGCAGAGAAACTAGTCCATGCATTTGTTACTTCAAGGCTGGATTATTGTAACTCTTTATTATCAGGGTGTACCAAGAAGTCAGTTAAGTCGCTTCAGCTGATTCAAAATGCTGCAGCACGTGTACTAACCAGAGTTAGGAAAAGGGACCACATTACTCCAGTTCTGGCTGCCTTACACTGGCTCCCTATAGAACACAGGATATCATTTAAAATTCTTCTTCTCGCCTACAAAGCCCTTAATGGGCAGGCGCCATCTTACCTTAAAGGGGACCTATCATGCAAAATGCACTTTTGCACGTCTTTTATACATGAATATGTGTCCCCGGTGTTCCAGGGAACTCACCAAGTGTCAGAAAACACAACCCTCTCTATTTTCCTCCATACCCAAATCTCTAAAAAAGGGGCTGCAACGGATCTGATAAAAACTGATCCAGATTTGAACACTGTCCTGACGTCAGGATGGTGGCGCTACGGCTATTGGGCCAACTCCACCAATCAGGAGGAGACAGCCACGGCCATTGCCGTTCGAAAGCGCTGGAGACGCTGTAGTACATATGCCAGGCCTGTAGGTGGTGCTGTTCTCACATAATCTGCCCTTGCAAAAAGAGAGCTAAAAAATGTCAAATTGAGTGAAATGAGGCATGGCTAAAATGCATGATCTGTTTGGTATTTTGAAAAAAAAAAAGTATAAATATGCCTTATATAGGTATGGTCCTACACTATATTATAATAATAAAGTGTTCAAATCTGGATCAGTTTTTATCAGATCCGTTGCAGCCCCTTTTTTAGAGATTTGGGTATGGAGGAAAATAGAGAGGGTTGTGTTTTCTGACACTTGGTGAGTTCCCTGGAACACCGGGGACACATATTCATGTATAAAAGACGTACAAAAGTGCATTTTGCATGATAGGTCCCCTTTAAATTGTTTTTTTAAATTCGGCATCATGTAAGTTGCGCTGACAGGTCCAGACACTGCTTCCCCGCAGCGAGGCTCCCCCCTCCCTCCTGTTGACAGTTCACGAGCGTCGAGGAGAGTTTGAAAATACAATATTGATCGATTATTTGAATGTAATATATTTAAAAAAATCTAATAATAATAGTGTCAGAGTCTAAATCAGTATATTGCATGATATTTATCAATCTGACTTATTGATTTAAATGTTACACTGCAACAACAATCCTTTTAAAGAGATGATTAAAAGGACAACAGATCCCAACCCATATTTGCATGTCTTATATTAACGGTTATTTTGATCACAATCCGGTATATTGGTACAGTATCTGTGTACAACAGTGATTATAAAACTGAAAGTAAAATGAAAATGAACTGTGAAAATGTCAATAAAAATGATATGCTTTGGGAAACTGAACTGAAACAATGCTGATTAAAAAAATACTAATTTTAGAAAATCATTTCATTTTCAAGGCTATAATGTATCACTACCAATAAAAGGAGACAGCATCAATACACGTCAGTCTCGTGATATTGAACCTCGGAAACTGAACAAACCAGCAGATGGCGCTATGCTACAATAGCCTTACAATCAATCTCTATTGTGAAAGTAAATTCAGCGGTACAAATATGTGCTCAATGCTATTGGCCTCAAGAATCCCGATACAAATCCAGTTCTGATTTACAACATAGTGCAACTGCAGACTCCATAAGACAAATAACAGCTTTTAAGACACATAATAGTGTCAAAAAAAATGTACGATAAGGTAGCATGGTCTTTCTACCTCATTTACAAAACTTCACTCCTTATTTTTTCTTTTTCCTTAAAGATGTCAACTTTCTCTTGAAACTGTTCCAGGCTTTCTTAGGTGATTTAGGACTTTTCTCGTCCTTCTTTTGCACCCTTTCTTTCGGGGCGTATCTTCTGGATTCAGGGCGTCTTCTATCCATTGAAGCTCCACCAAAGGAACCAACCGCTCCCAGCTCCTCGTCCTGGTACCTTGAAGGAGAGTAACCAGCCTCATCTGCGTAAGGATATGACGTGTCGATGCCCCCCCTATCTCTGGCGTTCTTGTGACTGACCGGTGGCAGAGAGCGGCTCCTCCTTTTCTCTATTGTGACCGACGTCCTCTCTGGATGTCGTGACTGCTCCCTCTGCCTCCGTAAGAGTATGTGCTTTAAATCGTGGCTCTCACGGGACGGTCCAATCAGGCGAAGTTTGACATCCATGGGACATACGAGCACTGAGTTGTAAATGTTTCTGTCTTTCTTGATCTTCTCTAAAAGCACCCTGCCTTCTTGATCCATGTCCTTTAGAAGGACTTCCTGTGTGCGCAGTGATTGGTTGAGATCATCCAGGAGGCTCTGTAGTTTACCGACCGCTGTTCTCGCGCTCTTCCCATGTAGAGTGATGCTGGCGCTATCGCCTACTTTTACTACCATCATTTTGACATTATGGCATTCCACGATGCCATCAATGTCTCTTTTTCTGAGCCGATCTGCGTACCTAAACACATCTGCATCGACGCTAAATGACTCACTTCGAGGACTGAATGAGCCGCGCTGATCTGGTTCTGGAGAAGGAGACGCTTTGTATGGTGAGCTTGGATGTTTGTTTGGAGATGACGGAGGCGAGGAGGAGGAGGGTGAAGATGGAGAAGAGTGCGGAGGCTTGTCTCGGCTTCTGTTAGCATTGGACACTGAGCTGTTTCGGGGGTAGTGTTTGGGAACGGCTCCAGAGGAAGCATAGGAGGCTTTTGGGACCGGAACGATGTCCGTCTTATTGTCTGATTTAACAATCTGCTCCAGAGAGGCCTTCACAGCTTTGAGTTTCAGAAACGACCCCTTCACACGCACCTGGTCTTGACTCAGATTCGTCAAACTAAAGCCATGTGACTGGAGTAGTTCTATCACCTCCGCCTCATTGGGGAAAAGGTTCAAATGCACTGTTGCCTCCACTGGTAAATCCATCTGAGAGAGGGTGGAAAAAAAGGCAATTTTGAATCTGAGCTGACAACATGGATAATGTGTAATCAATGTTCGGTTACCTGAGGATGTTCAGAGGATTTGACTGTTAGATGATATTGTTGCCAATTCACCTCCAATACATGGGAGCATTTAGGCAGGACTGGAGCAGCAACTGTGAAAAATAATGTTTTGAATTATTATTATCGGTTTAAAGAATGACTGACCTCAACCAGCATTCTAATACAGGAATGAAAATAATTTGTTTACGTTGTGTATAATGTATTGAAAAACAAAAATGACCATAATACTACTATTATTAACTTAAGAATACAGTATATATGTCAAGAGCCTGACAGGTAGAACTAAATATTCCATAGGAATTATAATTATATAATTTAAAAATGCACACGTAGTGAAACTGAACTGCTACTGAAATACAGTGGCAAACCGTGTCTATCACAACTGGACCATCTGTAGACACACACACACCCCGCGCAAAACTGTCAATCCAAACGTATGCTCTCATTCAGTGCAACAGCCAGGGCATAGAATACCTTGGTTGAAGGATATTCTACCCAGAGACCCAGAAAATTGGTTGCATTTTTTTTCTAACACAAAACCACTCAAATGCGTAGTGCATGGACCGAGAAAGACAAGACAAACAAATCAACGTAACACTGTAATATTACAGATCAACAACACAGATACGATTCTCATTTATTCATTTTATTTACATTTGATAAAATTGTATTTATATAATTTAATCGATTTTTTGTTTTGATTTATCTGAGTGTTCCAGGGTATTCTCTGAATACCTTGAAGGCCCTGACGGTTCACCACTACTGAAATATGACACTGGAAATAACTTAGGGCATCATGTTCCACCATGAACATGCAGCTCCTAAAGATGGCCAGCAGATGGCGATAAAGGCCACAAAGTGGTTAATAAGAATGAAAAGAAGAAATGATGGCTTTAGTTTAAAGCAGAGCCATATAATAGAATCTTAGAAATAGAATAGAAATAGAATTCTATCTATATGGCGCTGGTTTAAAGGCAGAAAAGCATCAACAACAACATACAAGTAAAAGCGTAATAAATTATACTCCAATTGTCACTATTTCCTTATTGATATTCTTTTTTTGTTCAACTGGAAAAAGTGAAATAAATGATTCCTCTGGATAATAGAAATACATTTGATTTAACCCTGGATGTTTCTTTTTTGGTTATTTATGTTATTGTTTAATGTAGATAATACTTTTCATAATTTTTGTATCAAAATGTATTCTGTAGAAAGCAGAAACATTAGTTGAGTATGTAGACTGCAATACTCAATCGTGCTTCCCCTTTTCTCCATCCTCACACTATGATAGCTAAAGTAAACGTGTTTTAGTCTTAATTTGTCCTGATTATGTAGGTCAATTTAAGGGTAAATATTAATATTTCGTCAAGGCAACATGACATTTAAAGTCAGTTTCATCGAAAGTGAAAGTAATTCCGTTTCAGGTCAATTGTTTCTTCGGCTCCTGCAACTTTACGAAACTTGAGTTAATTCAGATTGAAAACAGAGCCAAGCCGCATGTCAGTATAGGCTACAGATAAAATGCACGATCTTTATCAAGCAATAACTTGTGTATATTGAACCGTAGTAACATCCCCTAAACTGTGTTTCACTTCACTGTGTAATATTTCCAGTAAAGGCAAACACACAGCAAAACAGGCTAAATAAATGGCTAAACACTAAAGGGCTTTGATAAATCTATCACTTACTTTAAAACTCACATCTCCATGACATGACACCAGTGTGCGATGAAATCGAAAGCAATGTCGTCACTTCCGGTCCAGATTACAGCTCATGATTTTGACAGTAAAATACATTTCCTTCTCGACTTTTTTTTCTAGGCAAGTTAAAAGTAAATACAAGTTTATGTATATTTCTATTGTAAAGTAAATACAATAGTTACTGTCAGAGTATCTGTCCAACTGTCTCAATCTAAAAATATCAGTAAGTATTATTAAGCAAAGACCTTTAAAGGCAAGAGAGGTAATGCATTCAATCTGCTGCGGAAGTCATTTGTTTTAACCAGGGTGAAAACAAAAAGGTTTTTATTTTCAACAATAAACCAACTATTCACACGGTGGAATATTAATATTAACACCATGGAGCGTTACAGAATTTGTTTCAGAGTATACTTGACACGTTATGTAAAGCCATTTTGGGCAGAGATCTAACAGGATATTACCTTCAGGCTTTCAAAGATCAAATGTAATGCCATTATGTGTGGGGTATTCACAAGTTGAAATATTTAGAAAGTAGTTATTTTCCAGTATTTTTGAAACCACAGTTTTAGAAATCAAAAGCATTTTCACTTTTTACAGTTTCAGGATTTCTCCAACTGACAATCACTTACAAACACAGGACATTAGTTAATAAAGTTTATTTCAACATTGTGGAAAACAAGAAAACCATTAAAGAAATATTCTGCAGATGTACAAATGTGACCATTTATTTTCTTCTGCAGATGAACGGTTTCTCCAACCCTCAGGGAAATCTGCAGAAAAATATATTTCAATTAATTATTTGTTATGCAAGAACATTGAAAGCTGTCATCACACTGATTTGAATAGATAACAATATGGTAATGGAGGCCCTACATTTTAATAAAATGGCATTGTGATACACTTTGTGCAATTAGCAAAATTGGTATTGTCTAAAGAATCGAAAATGTAATATTGTGATGAAACATGCCATTTAAATTCTTAATGTATATAGCAGTCATGCTGCTGTTCTCTGCTACAAAAAGGAGAAACATTGTTCATGTTATAGCCTTGTTACATTCATCTTTTAATATAAAGCGAAAATGTATACCCTCAATGTTGTGTCAATTTCTCCGTCTGGTGTAGAAAATATATATATTTAAGGCATTTTATCAAGGTTTGAATTCCAGTGTCGTCTAGCTCAGGTCTTTGACATGAGACTTATTCACTGCAGGCCTCAGAATCGGTTAAAGGCCAATTAACAACACTTGGATCAGTACACAAAGCATGTGGTCCATCTCTAAACCTGAGGTGACATGTTGGAGGTTTACCTATAACCCTGCTGTAAGGAGTCACAGCAGGGCCTCAAACGGCCTCTCATCTCTCTAGCAGACACTATAGGAAAGATCAGAGCCACTGCAGGCTGAGCCTCGCTGGAAGGTCTGCCATTTTCAAACCATGTGTTGTCTTTACATTACAAAAACTGACCTTAGTGTTCAGCTCATGCTGGAGCAGCAGAGGTCAGTCAGGAGGTCTGAGCAGGGCAGAGCCTGGCTTCATCTCTACTTCTGTAAAAGAAAGTCATATAAGTACTGTGTTTTTTATACAACATTTCCCTATAAGGTTACATCAAGCTTTGTGTGCATTTAAAGTCTTTGCTACGTGAGCAAGTTCAAGCAGAACATGATAATCAAAAATCGTTCATTGGTCCCACCATGGGGAAACATACAGCCTAACAGAGGCAAAGGGACAGTGCAGATGAAGGCAAAAAGTAGTAAGTAACCTATTAAATAAATAGGCAAGCAGACGTGTAATAAGAAATTATCTATGTACTAAAAAACAAGTAGCAGCATGTGTTTATCTGCATGTCCTTCAGCCGCGTTTTTCTCGTTTTAATGCCATTGAACACAACTTATGATCAGAATAACAGTAAAAGGTGAGCATATCTCCGTGTTTTGCTACTTAAAGCTACGTCGTGTGTTGTCTGGTTTTGCTTCGCCTATCGCGAGTTCTGATCGCTCAGTGATGATACTTATATGTATGGAATCTGTGGAATCTCAGCTTGCTAGTAAAGCTCGTTTGTGCAGATCCGATAAGTACATCGATCGATTTATACCTAGAGTTCTGTGCCAAGTGCGTTAGCATTTTTTCGCTCTGGGCTCATTTAGATGCTTCTTGTGAGACTTGTGTTTTGTTTCGGTAAAAATGGTTCATATCGTCAGTTAGCTAAGTTTCTTCCCGTTAAAGGTAGGGTAGGTAAGTTTGAGAAACCGGCTCGAGATACACTTTTTGTTATATTCCATGGAATGCTCTTAACATCCCGATAGCAATGAATATCTTAAGTGCTTTGACAAAAAATCCATTAAAAAATGTCATCTGTGGAAGCAGTAATACTGTAAAAAGCACGACCAATCATTTTAGCCGGCCCGGCTAAAATAACTGGATGGCCTACCTGCCTTCCATCTGTGCACAAACTTATCTCGTGCCCTCATTGGTCATGTGCGCGTTCGTGTGTGTTGGAGGAGGGGCTCTGTAAGGAAGTGGCAGATTTTCTCCGGTTGTGTATTTTCAAATTCTAGAGATCTCGAGCCGGTTTCTCAAACTTACCTCCCCTACCGTTAAGTGAGTATGACACATTCAGTTTATTACATTTTAAGAAGCCCTGAGACACAGTTTCGTGAAAAAAAAGCCTGTTAAGCAGCCTTCTGCTTGAAAAATTACTTGAATGATTAATTGAATATCCCAATAGTGAGCGATCATTTTTCCTTTTAAACGATTATTCAATTAAGCCATGGTTTTTACTTAACAGATGTGTCAAACGTAGGGGGGGAAAGCAAATTCAACATCATGATGTCTGACTTTAAAATGATGCACGCCGTGTATTATTCATAAACCGATAAGCAGTGAAATGTACCGATATAATATTTAGCCTGGACCCTAATGCCTTCATGGCACACGGTCTACCATTTGTAGAAATAGTGTTCCTTTATGGTTCACCAACAAAAGAAAACAATATACAGAATATGGGCAGGATGAAACTCCTTAGTAACAATAACTCACTTTGAAGAACAAATCCCTTTGCAGCTTGTTGGAGGTTTACCTATAACCCTGCTGTAAGGAGTCACAGCAGGGCCTCAAACGGCCTCTCATCTCTCTAGCAGACACTATAGGAAAGATCAGAGCCACTGCAGGCTGAGCCTCGCTGGAAGGTCTGCACACGAGCAACGTTTAAAGATAGGGACTGGGCTACGGTCATGTGTTGGCTTTACTTTGAAAAAACTGACCTTAGTGTTCAGCTCATGCTGGAGCAGCAGAGGTCAGTCAGGAGGTCTGAGCAGGGCTTCATCTCTACTTCTGTAAAAGAAACACAACAACCACATTTAACTACAGTACTGTGTATTTATGTTTAATATATAAACAAAAAAGGTAATACAACTCGAATGAAGGGATGACAACAGCTAATGTAAGGTAGTTTTAAACAGATCATACACACATCTGTAGATGGATTTGACAGTATAAAGCAGTATTTGCTGGTTGTCAAAAGGGCTGTAAAAATTGAATGTTTTTGTTATCAATTCATCTGCTGATTAATTTCTCGAAGGATAAATTGTTTGATCTATACTAATTCAGAAAATAGTCAAATGTCTCTCCTAATTTTTCCAAGTCCCAGTTGGTGTCCTTAAATGGCTTTTGTCAGTCTAAATGAAGAGGAAGTCACTTAACCTGTTAAGCACCGAGCCTGTTTTCCAGGTCTCAGGCTCGAAAAGGACATTCCCAGAACAAATGACCATAACTTCACTTCTAAAAGGGGTAGATTAATAATCTTTTTTCTCAAAGTAATGATAAACCTGTGAGATGGATGTAGAAAAGTCAGAATCAATATAGATTTTTTTATTTTAAAGTAAATTCAGATTGAACATAGTAAAAAACTGTAAATTATTGTGTCCGTCCAAAACAAGACGTATAGTGAAAACCACCCTTGAATGATGGGATAGTAGACTAAAAGCTTTAGGAATCCAAACTATAACATAATAAGTACCCTGTATCAAGATTGATGCAAAACAAGTGAAATTTGACCTTTTTAAGAGAGATTTAGCACAAAAAAAAACAACTTCTGGGGTCATTTGGGTGGATTTGACCTATCTCTGGCCCCCCTTGGTCGGTTTTGATGATTGACATCTCCTTTTAACCGTTAGAGCCAATAGAATCGAGGGGAAGTTCCACATACACACACGTTACCAAATAAGGAGTGAGAGTGACGCGTAGCCAGAATACCCAAAACAGGAAGCTGTCATACACTCTGGAAGCTATCATTAGCAGCTAATATGAAAACTCTGTTTTTGACATAAAAATGGAATTATGGATTATCAATAATTTTTTCAAAGTGACACACATTGGATTAACCTTCAGCTGCGTTACTCGTTTTAATGCCATTGAACACAACTTATGATCAGAATAACAGCAAAAGGTGAGCATATCTCAGTGTTTTGCTACCTAAAGCTACGTCGTGTGTTGTCTGGTTTTGCTTCGCCTATCGCGAGTTCTGATCGCTCAGTGATGATATATGTATGGAATCTGTGGAATCTCAGCTTGCTAGTAAAGCTCGTTTGTGCAGATCCTATAAGTATATCGATCGATTTATACCTAGAGTTCTGTGCCAAGTGCGTTAGCATTTTTTCGCTCAGGGCTCATTGAGACGCTTCTTGTGAGACTTGTGTTTTGTTTCTGTAAAAATGGTTCATATCGTCAGTTAGCTAAGTTTCTTCCCGTTAAGTGAGTATGACACATTCATAGTTTATTACATTTTAAGAAGCCCTGAGACACAGTTTTGTGAAAAAAAAGCCCGTTAAGCAGCCTTCTGCTTGAATGATTAATTGAATATCCCAATAGTGAGCGATCATTTTTCCTTTTAAACGATTATTCAATTAAGCCATGGTTTTTACTTAACAGATGTGTCAAACGTAGGGGGGGAAAGCAAATTCAACATCATGATGTCTGACTTTAAAATGATGCACGCCGTGTATTATTCATAAACCGATAAGCAGTGAAATGTACCGATATAATATTTAGCCTGGACCCTAATGCCTTCATGGCACACGGTCTACCATTTGTAGAAATAGTGTTCCTTTATGGTTCACCAACAAAAGAAAACAATATACAGAATATGGGCAGGATGAAACTCCTTAGTAACAATAACTCACTTTGAAGAACAAATCCCTTTGCAGCTTGTTGGAGGTTTACCTATAACCCTGCTGTAAGGAGTCACAGCAGGGCCTCAAACGGCCTCTCATCTCTCTAGCAGACACTATAGGAAAGATCAGAGCCACTGCAGGCTGAGCCTCGCTGGAAGGTCTGCACACGAGCAACGTTTAAAGATGGGGACTGGGCTACGGTCATGTGTTGGCTTTACTTTGAAAGAACTGACCTTAGTGTTCAGCTCATGCTGGAGCAGCAGAGGTCAGTCAGGAGGTCTGAGCAGGGCAGAGCCTGGCTTCATCTCTACTTCTGTAAAAGAAAGTCATATTATAAGTACTGTGTTTTTTATACAACATTTCCCTATAAGGTTACATCAAGCTTTGTGTGCATTTAAAGTCTTTGCTACGTGAGCAAGTTCAAGCAGAACATGATAATCAAAAATCGTTCATTGGTCCCACCATGGGGAAACATACAGCCTAACAGAGGCAAAGGGACAGTGCAGATGAAGGCAAAAATAAGTAAGTAACCTATTAAATAAATAGGCAAGCAGACATGTAATACAAAATTAAGTATGAACTAAAAAACAAGTAGCAGCATGTGTTTATCTGCATGTCACAATAAAGAATGTTTCAGCATAGTGTTTTATTTATGTTTGCCTTGCTAATAAGTTGCAAATATAACCGATGAGCAGTGAATATTTTGCCTGCATCATCATCCCTTCATGGCACATGGTCCACTATTGGTTCAAGGTGTTCCCCTTTACGATGTGCATTCATAAGAGAACATTACACAGATTTAGGCTAGGTTTAAACTAATAGTAATAATAATTCCCCTTAAACAATAAGTGGCAGTGCAGCTTGTTGGAGGTTTACCTATAACCCTGCTGTAAGGAGTCACAGCAGGGCCTCAAACGGCCTCTCATCTCTCTAGCAGACACTATAGGAAAGATCAGAGCCACTGCAGGCTGAGCCTCGCTGGAAGGTCTGCCATTTTCAGGCTATGTGTTGTCTTTACATGACAAAAACTGACCTTATTGTTCAGCTCAAAGTCATGCTGGAGCAGTAGAGGTCAGTCAGGAGGTCTGAGCAGGGCAGAGCCTGGCATCTCAGCAACACTGTAAAAGAAAAAGGAATATTTTAAGTACTGTGATAATCATTTACATAAAAAAGGTGACATCAAGCTTTATGTGCCATTAAGGCCTTTGTAGGCCAATTTTAAGGACAAGACAATTAGAAATCTGTTATTGGTCCTACTACAGGAACATTAACAGGCCTACAACAGCAAGGGACAGTGCAGATGAAAGGCAAACATTAAATAAAGAGACAAGCAAATGTCTAGTAAAATATGTACAAAAAACCGTGTAAATCAAGCGCCTTGTTGTGGAGTCCCTCAAGGATCAATTTTAGGTCCAAAACTGTTCCTGATTTATATTAATGACATAATCAACACCTCCGACATGTTAAAATGAATCTTGTTTGCCGATGATACCACCATTCTCTGCTCCCATCATAATCTTGGTGATCTTGTTAAAATTGTTAATGCAGAATTAGAAATACTATGTAACTGGTTTGCAGTTAATAAATTATCCCTTAGTGTGGCCAAAACAAATTACATGTTATTAGGCAGTGAATATTTTGCATGCACCATCATCTCTTCATAGCACATGGTCTCCTATTGGTTCAAGGTATTTCCCTTTACTATCCAATATAATTCCGACATACATTTCGCTTAATCAGTGTTTTTACTTTAATTGTGTTCATTTTTAAAAGCAAATAATTTTTAACTTTTACTTAAGTACAGAATTTTGAGGTTAAATATTGCTACTTTCAAGTATACAACCAGAATACCTCTTGCACCAGTGGAAATCAGGAAGAAGAATAAGGCTAGGTTTAATCTTATAGTAATAATATCTACTTTAAACGATAAGTGGCAGTGTAGTTTGTTGGAGGTTTACCTATAACCCTGCTGCAAGGAGTCACAGCAGGGCCTCAAACGGCCTCTCATCGCTCTAGCAGACACTATAGGAAAGATCAGAGCCACTGCAGGCTGAGCCTCGCTGGAAGGTCTGCAGTGTTAACAACGCAATACAGAAGTCTCTTTAAAATGTTTAAAATGCTTGTCGTTTCCGGTCTGAACACATGGGCTGGTAGATAAAATACTGCCTCTAATGTGTAAAACAAAAGCAAACTAAGTTTTACCTTAGCATATTTAAGTTGGACAGTCACCCACGCCTTCAGTCTGTGAACACAGAAAATAAAAACATGAAAAACGTGTTGTAAAAAGTAACATGAATGTGATGCTGTTACCAAAAGCACATCGCTCGCGCTTAACTGACTTAAACAGTTTAAAAACAACATTCCTCAACAAAACCGCCTTTCTATTACAGTTTAAAGGTTCAAATTATATTTAAAGAAGTCAGAAACGTTACATACTTTGTAATTTAAGTTAGATGGAAGCAGATAGAATAAGCGTACCTTACTCGACCCAGGCGTGCCGTGAAGTAGACTGAAACATACAGTGCCGGATGTGACGTCCTTACATTTTGGCATGGGTTTCCTTCTCCTTCTCCATACAAGGTGTATCTCAGCCAGCAGGGAGCAGTATAATACCAAATATCGCGGTAGGGTGTTAAACATCCATGGTTTGAACCTGAAATAGTCTAAATTTCTTTGATTTCATTAGGGACATTTTGTCTTTTTAAGATTTAGATCCATCATTTTTTCTGCCAAGAGTGTGAAGCAATTTTTTAGGAACTCCGCCTATAAATATGCGACAATAAACTGAAGCCAGAATACCTCCATCTCCATTGAAACCCACAAAAAACCCAATTGATTCCACGGCCATTAAAGCATGAAATCATGCATTTTATTATGACATGCTTTCAGTCTAGAGCCCTTTCTTCAAATGAAACTCTTTTTTTATTTCCACTAAATTAAGCAATTTTCTTACCTTAAAAAACATGTTAAAGCCTAAAGCGGAATTAAGCTTTGATGAGGAAGAGGAGAAAATAGGGCATACGAAACAGACCAATCAAAATAACAAAACAAGAAGATAACATGTGAAGTAAGGAGGATGCTCGTGGCCGATGACTCAGACTGCATTACCGTACAACAATAAACCTCATAGAGGAGCAGGGTGTGCTGTGCCTTATCCATCAGCAGACGCCCGGATGAATTTCAGCTTTGTTAGCCCGCATTGATGCTGACCACTCGCCCAGCTGACTGGCTCTGCATACTGATAAAGAAAACGCACAATCTGAATCTGTGTTTAGACACAAACATGATCTGTTTCTGCCGCTCCTCTTGTTTCTGCATGACTGGGAGACTCTGAGCTTTTAAAGAAAGTTTGTGTATTTCATATAAACAAAAGTGGTGCCTTCAAAGAGTTGATCTTTGTTGAAGTTAGAAATAAGAAAATAGCACATTGTCTTGTTCGCACTGCCTCCGACGTCTCCACCAAACAATATTATATTTATCACAGTTTGATCTCTCTGAATAATCCTATTTCCACCGTGTCTCTGGGATTAATTATAACAGAGTCTCTGCATGAGAAACAACAGATCAGGCCAAGCTTGAAATAATTTACCAGACTTGTTAGATCCAGATCAGATAATCACATGTCAGCCTCTGGGTATGATCTTAAAATAGCTCACTGACCAAAATGCTTATCCAAAAATTAATTTACACTCATATCAGTATAATAAGGCAGAGCGGTAGCTACTACGCAGGACAGTTAGGTCATGTTCTCTGACTTATGAGGAGAATATGATGGGTCTTAGAGATCAAGACAAGGGGTTGGGGTTATATTGCAATTATGATGCCTTTAAAAAATGTGTTTGATTAAAATCAGTACTTATATTGAAACATTTTGAGACCAACAATATTAAAGCTGCACTAATCAATAGGGTTGTATGAATCGATTCAATGATCAACAATCCCATGTATGGATGCAAAGTATAAAAAAACGATGCAAATCATCATTTTCAATATATGCCCTTATTTTGAAAATCTTAGATATGTTAAGAGGAGATCTATTTTTATAGATTGTTATTTATTTAAATGTATTGAAGAACCCAGTAATACAATAGTCATATGTACAGTATATAGATTGCTTTTTGTGAGTATATGTAACGGATTGTGTAAAATAGGCTTATGATATTGTGTTATATCGCAGGCCGATAAATTGATTTGAATCAAAATGGTATTACAGACTTTGTAATACAAGCAAATATTGTTTCTTAAGAACTGATATAAAATGATATCATGATTAACACCATTACTAATCAATAGGTCTACATTATTCGTTATCATGTGGCTACATATGACAGTGTGTTAGACTTGGAATGAAGCTAGTAACGACAACAGAGAGGTTAAACTGCTGAATCAATCTTGTGTGAGACGTCAGAGGATGACAGACGTCACTCCACATCAACAAACCTGATCCGTAATCTGCCTGCAGGCATGCAGCCAGCAGACACACTGCTGCGTCTAATGTCATCACCGCTCTCTGATTTATCAAGGTGACGCTCTGAGAGTCACCTGCAGCTGAGAGTCACCACACCAACTCCATCCTGAGAGCCTTCTCAACGTCAGTCATTGATCTTTAATCCATCTGTTAAGTGGGTTTATATCCTCCATGTGTTGAACTGCTGCACCATTAACATGCAGTGTGGTACAAAAGGTCTCAGGAATCAGGAATCCTGTATTTTTGTCCCACAGCGGGGACATTCTCAATGTTACACCAAAGGGGACAGAGCAGATACAAGGCAACACAACATATGAGGACTAACTTTTAAAATAACGTGGCAACTTTATGTTAAAGAGAACATATTATACACATTTTCAGGTTCGTATCAGTATGTAGTGTCTCTACTTTAAAGAGTCCTCTCCTGCTGATGTTCAGGTGTATATCAGTATGTAGTGTCTCTACTTTAAAGAGTCCTCTCCTGCTGATGTTCAGGTGTATATCAGTATGTAGTGTCTCTACTTTAAAGAGTCCTCTCCTGCTGATGTTCAGGTGTATATCAGTATGTAGTGTCTCTACTTTAAAGAGTCCTCTCCTGCTGATGATCAGGTGTATATCAGTATGTAGTGTCTCTACTTTAAAGAGTCCTCTCCTGCTGATGATCAGGTGTATATCAGTATGTAGTGTCTCTACTTTAAAGAGTCCTCTCCTGCTGATGTTCAGGTGTATATCAGTATGTAGTGTCTCTACTTGAAAGAGTCCTCTCCTGCTGATGTTCAGGTGTATATCAGTATGTAGTGTCTCTACTTTAAAGAGTCCTCTCCTGCTGATGATCAGATGTATATCAGTATGTAGTGTCTCTACTTTAAAGAGTCCTCTCCTGCTGATGATCAGATGTATATCAGTATGTAGTGTCTCTACTTTAAAGAGTCCTCTCCTGCTGATGATCAGATGTATATCAGTATGTAGTGTCTCTACTTTAAAGAGTCCTCTCCTGCTGATGTTCAGGTGTATATCAGTATGTAGTGTCTCTACTTTAAAGAGTCCTCTCCTGCTGATGTTCAGGTGTATATCAGTATGTAGTGTCTCTACTTTAAAGAGTCCTCTCCTGCTGATGTTCAGGTGTATATCAGTATGTAGTGTCTCTACTTTAAAGAGTCCTCTCCTGCTGATGATCAGGTGTATATCAGTATGTAGTGTCTCTACTTTAAAGAGTCCTCTCCTGCTGATGTTCAGGTGTATATCAGTATGTAGTGTCTCTAATTTAAAGAGTCCTCTCCTGCTGATGTTCAGGTGTATATCAGTATGTAGTGTCTCTACTTTAAAGAGTCCTCTCCTGCTGATGTTCAGGTGTATATCAGTATGTAGTGTCTCTACTTTAAAGAGTCCTCTCCTGCTGATGTTCAGGTGTATATCAGTATGTAGTGTCTCTACTTTAAAGAGTCCTCTCCTGCTGATGTTCAGGTGTATATCAGTATGTAGTGTCTCTACTTTAAAGAGTCCTCTCCTGCTGATGTTCAGGTGTATATCAGTATGTAGTGTCTCTACTTTAAACAGTCCTCTCCTGCTGATGTGCAGGTGTATATCAGTATGTAGTGTCTCTACTTTAAACAGTCCTCTCCTGCTGATCTGCAGGTGTATATCAGTATGTAGTGTCTCTACTTTAAACAGTCCTCTCCTGCTGATGATCAGGTGTATATCAGTATGTAGTGTCTCTACTTTAAAGAGTCCTCTCCTGCTGATGTTCAGGTGTATATCAGTATGTAGTGTCTCTACTTTAAAGAGTCCTCTCCTGCTGATGTTCAGGTGTATATCAGTATGTAGTGTCTCTACTTTAAAGAGTCCTCTCCTGCTGATGTTCAGGTGTATATCAGTATGTAGTGTCTCTACTTTAAAGAGTCCTCTCCTGCTGATGTTCAGGTGTATATCAGTATGTAGTGTCTCTACTTTAAACAGTCCTCTCCTGCTGATGTGCAGGTGTATATCAGTATGTAGTGTCTCTACTTTAAACAGTCCTCTCCTGCTGATGTGCAGGTGTATATCAGTATGTAGTGTCTCTACTTTAAACAGTCCTCTCCTGCTGATGATCAGGTGTATATCAGTATGTAGTGTCTCTACTGGGACATGTCTCCATGCTTTAATGTTCAAAAAGCTCTTTATTTGTCTCATACTGCCTGTGCTGCAGCACCTCTTTTCACCCTCTGTCTGAAACCAGAGCCCAGTCTGCTCTGATTGGTTAGCTGGCCGGCTCTGTTGTGATTGGTCAACCACTAAGAGATGTCCTACCCCTTAGCCTATCATGTACAATGTGTTGTGCTAGCAATTAGAAGGGGGAGTGTTACATATTGAGATCACTTACACAACCCTATACAACACACTGCAGGAAAGGGTCAACCCAAAGCATAATAGGGCTTCCTATAATACATTCATTTAAATAAGTACACATAAGGTGAACAAAATAGTATCAGGATGATAAGGTCAATTAACATATAAAAGTCGAGGAAATAGCAGTCAGTAATAATAATAATAATAATAATAATAATAATAATAATAATAATAATAATAATAGTAGATTACATTTGTATAGTGCCTTTCAAGGGACCCAAGGCCGCTGTACATGGTGAACAAACAAACAAACAAACAAACAAACAAACAAACAAACAAACAAACAAAAGGGGCAAATAATAAAGTCAAACATTGAATAAATAGCAGTAACACTGTAACACTGTACGGTTTTATTTCAGAACAGTGGTGTTACAGTCTGAAGTAGTGAAATCATGGTTTACTTTAAAACAGGAAAAGTGAGCGTTATGATGTTTTTGACCAATTATTGCCGATATATTAAATGTACATCAAAAAACAGACAAAAGCATGAAATCTTCAAATTGAAAAAGCTAAAACCAGAAAATATTTAACATTTTTGCTTGATAAATCACCAGATAAAATGATACAACCATCAAATATACAGTACACTACATTTGAGTGTATTCATCTGGGGTTTAATCAATTCATGAGGCGGATATGTTCCGGTATCTGTTGAGAAAAGCTTTACTGTTCCCATAAACAATCAAAAACACATTGTAACATTGTCTACT